TGCGTGCGTGTGAGTGTGCGTCCGTGTGTGTAGTGTGAAGTGCCTTAATGAAGTTTTAACCTTCACACACTCTCCCCCTTTCCTGGTTGTGACTCATCCATTGTGGCCGCTCTTGAAAGGGATTTTGTTTCAGATTAATCAGATCTTCTAACAAATCTGATTAGCAAATGTTCCTCAGCAATTAGTGGCACAAACCAGTGACAGAGAGGTCAGGCTGGGAGATGCCATCCAGTTAGCGCTGCTGTACACAGTGTGTCTGACACCCAGCGCCTGTTAGCACTGCTGTACACAGTGTGTCTGACACCCAGCGCCTGTTAGCACTGCTGTACACAGTGTCTGACACCCAGCGCCTGTTAGCGCTGCTGTACATAGTGTGTCTGACACCCAGCGCCTGTTAGCACTGCTGTACATAGTGTGTCTGACACTCAGCGCCTGTTAGCACTGCTGTACACAGTGTCTGACACTCAGCGCCTGTTAGCACTGCTGTACACAGTGTGTCTGACACTCAGCGCCTGTTAGCACTGCTGTACACGGTGTGTCTGACACTCAGCGCCTGTTAGCGCTGCTGTACACGGTGTGTCTGACACCCAGCGCCTGTTAGCACTGCTGTACACAGTGTGTCTGACACCCAGCGCCTGTTAGCACTGCTGTACACAGTGTGTCTGACACCCAGCGCCTGTTAGCACTGCTGTACATAGTGTGTCTGACACCCAGCGCCTGTTAGCACTGCTGTACATAGTGTGTCTGACACTCAGCGCCTGTTAGCACTGCTGTACACAGTGTCTGACACCCAGCGCCTGTTAGCACTGCTGTACACAGTGTCTGACACCCAGCGCCTGTTAGCACTGCTGTACACAGTGTGTCTGACACCCAGCGCCTGTTAGCGCTGCTGTACACAGTGTCTGACACTCAGCGCCTGTTAGCACTGCTGTACACGGTGTGTCTGACACCCAGCGCCTGTTAGCACTGCTGTACACAGTGTGTCCGACACCCAGCGCCTGTTAGCACTGCTGTACACAGTGTGTCTGACACCCAGCGCCTGTTAGCACTGCTGTACACAGTGTCTGACACCCAGCGCCTGTTAGCGCTGCTGTACACAGTGTCTGACACTCAGCGCCTGTTAGCACTGCTGTACACAGTGTGTCTGACACTCAGCGCCTGTTAGCACTGCTGTACACGGTGTGTCTGACACCCAGCGCCTGTTAGCACTGCTGTACACAGTGTGTCCGACACCCAGCGCCTGTTAGCACTGCTGTACACAGTGTGTCCGACACCCAGCGCCTGTTAGCACTGCTGTACACAGTGTCTGACACCCAGCGCCTGTTAGCGCTGCTGTACACAGTGTGTCTGACACTCAGCGCCTGTTAGCACTGCTGTACACAGTGTCTGACACTCAGCTCCGTTTGTCTGTCCGTTCAGGTGAACGTTAAGGTCACCATGTTAAGCACTACTCAGAAGAGAAGGGATTTCTGACTGAGATCAACAACAACAAATTGCCTTTATGTCCCTTAAAAAAAAGTGGTCACCCAATCCTCAACTGTTTTTCGGTTGTTAGTGGATTGGCGGATCACTTTTCCGGCGATAAAAACCCCTTCAAAAATTTTTTTAAAAAATAATAATTTGGTCACTTAATCCACGACTGCTTGTGGGACGCTGCTATGTGCAATTGGCTGCTGCGTTTCGCCCACAAAATACACAGTCAATACTTTACAGTGTATCCTGTGAAGCGCTTTTAGACATCTCGAAGACGTGATGAGGCACTGTATCAAATGCAGGGAATATTATTATTATGATGATGTGGTAGTGTCAGCCAGGACTGTGTGGGCAGAATCCCAATGTGCGGCTTTGACTCTCTGGTGATTGAGCGCTGTGCTGTGTCAGCTTGTCCACCCTCCGCTCGGCGGACACCGGCTGCTTCAGGTGCCCCACACTTTCCGGCCCACCATTGGTGGACGGGCACTCAGCATCTCTCCCCCACACTCTGGAACTCTATCTCGCAATCCCTCTGCCTCACCCCCTCTCTCGCCTCCTTCAAGTGCCGTCTAAAAGACCTTCCTCTTCGACCGTGACTTCGGGCACCCTCCCAGCCCCACACCCCTGCCCTCCACCCCTCCAGACCCCAACTCCCAGCTCGGGTCCAAATCCAAAAATCCCTGACTGTCCAGCACCCTGGGACATCTTTCCAACGTGAAGGGCACTATATACAAGTGTAAGTTGTTGTTGTTGTGTGACAGGGTAGGGCAGGTGGCTGGGTTATCAGGTGGGGCAGTGGAATATGGAGAATTCCTGCTCTAGTGTACACTGTGGCCTCACCTTGTGTGACTGCAGAGCTGTGGGCCTGAGATAAGAACTGTGGCCAGGAGCCATGTACACACCCTGGCCTCTGCCCCAGCCATGGGGCCCCCCCTACTGTGAGCCACGATGTCCAGAAGGAGGAGTGGTATGAAATACAACAACATCATCATATAATAATCTCTATATTTGATACAGTGCTTTATCACGTTGTTGAGACGTCTCAAAGCACTTCACAGGATATATAGCACATACACACACACATATAATATATAATAAATATATACAGAATATAAGTAGGAACCTGGTTATTAGTCGATTGGCAAATCGCTTTCCGGGGGTAATAATCTCTTTTCAAAAAAAATAAATTATTTGGTCTCTCAATCCACGACTGTTTGTGGGGACGCTGCTGTGTGCAATTGGCTGCCACGTTTTGCCCACAAAATACACAGTCACTACACTTTCTGTAAAGCAATTTGAGACATCATCTGAACAGAGTGATGAGGCGCTATGTCAAATGCAAGGATTACTATTATTACATTGTAGTGACAGTCGTGCCCTACAAACAGTTGTGGTTTGAGTGACCACAATTTTGTTGGAGGAATTATTACCCCAGGAAAACCATCCGCCTATTAACGGATCCGTGGGGGTGGGGGGAGCTGTCTGGGTGGGTGGGGGGAAAGTGATGCTATGTGCGCGGTGAGTGGGGGCACGGAAGCGTCTGTGACTGGAGAACTCGGGCCTGTTTCTCCAGTGTGTTGTTGACAGCTGACAGAAGGTGCTGTCACACACAGCCACCACTCACTGAAGTCTGGTCTAACTCATTGTCTCTCAGCGACTCACACACTGAGGTCTCTCCCTCCGTCCCCTCCTCAAAGAGAGTGGGAGACCTTGCCATCTGCTCCCACCTACTTCAGGCCCATTCCAGGGTCTGCTATCATAATCTGTGCATTATAATTGTGGAGCAAGTGGCGGAGCGAGCGAGCCCCAGCACAGACACCATGGGGGGGAGAGAGAGAGAGAGAGAGCAGGGAATGGGGTTAGAGTAGAGAGCTCCAGTGGGGGAGCGAGCCCCAGCACAGACACCATGGGGAGAGAGAGAGCAGGGAATGGGGTTAGAGTAGAGAGCTCCAGTGGGGGAGCGAGCCCCAGCACAGACACCATGGGGGGAGAGAGAGAGAGAGAGAGCAGGGAATGGGGTTAGAGTGGCAGTGCAGTCATGATGACCTGAATGGCTTCCTATGTTATAACTTTATACCATATTGTATCTAAGTACGTGAATGAAAGAGGGAGCGGGTCTGAGGGTAGAACAGGTTGTGTGGCTCAGGGTTGAGGGGTGGCTGTGTTGCTGGTTTTGGATGATGGTGAGAGAGACAGCAGATACAGTGTTTAGCGCTCAGCGAGTGAGTGAGAGAGAGATCCTAGATTACACTAATCCCTTAAAAGGGAGAAATCCTCTGCTTTTTAACACCTTGTGACCTCGGTGATTCAAAACACGTCCCGTGTGATTACAGGAGTCCTGTCGCTCAGTGGTTAGAGGATCTGGGTTTGATTCCCGGGTCAGGGCGAAACTTTGGGCAAGTTTGCTTACTCCACACACCACAGCAGTGAGTAGGAACCCGGTTGTTATTTGGTGGTGGATCACTTTTCCGGGGGGAATAATCCCTTCAAAAAAGACAATAATAATAATCCGGTCACTCAATCCAGGACTCCGCTCCGGCACTCCTTTAGGAGATGAGGGAGAGGGGAATGCGAGCTGCCCCTCGGGGTGGAGGTGAGGAGAGAGAGCAGTGTGAGCCGGGCTGTGAGAGCACAGACACTGCTGTCGCTCTCCTTTATCTTATCTTATCTCAAGCCAGTAAATGTTTCTGCTGTGTGTTATTTTCACACTCCGCTGGGGACGATTCATATGGGGAGAGGAACACTATTTGCAGTCCGCTCCGCCTGTATTTTGGCTGGAGGAGTGGTGGCCTTGGGTGGGGTAAGGGGTGGGGTGTGAGTGGGGTGCTGTGGTTCATGTCCGTGGGTGGGGTGAGGGTGGGAAGAGGAGCTTTCTGCCCCGCCCCCCGCTGGCTGCCCTGGGGGTGATTTCCCTGCGAAGGGGTGGGTGTCTGTCTCTGTGTGATGGGGTGTGTGTTTGCGTGTCTGTCTTTGTGACGGTGTGTGTCTCTCTGTATACACACAATTCAAGATCCTCACCTACAAGGCCATTCCCGGCCTCGCTCCCTCCTACCTCTCCGACCTACTATCCCCCTCCCTACCTGCCCGTACCCTCCGTTCCTCCGGCTCCGGTCTGCTCCACATCCCCCGCCCCAACCACCCTACCATCGGTGGCCTTCAGCCTCTTAGCCCCGAGGCTCTGGAACTCCATCCCCAGTGCCTTCGCCGCCTCCTCCCTTTCCTCCTTCAAGGCCGGTCTCAAGACCTTTCTCTTTGACTGTGCCTTCAGCTCCGCTCTCGACTCTCTACCCCCTCCTCGCTCCCTCCCTTCCCTCCCCTCACCCTGACCATTTCCCCACTGCTCGGGTCCTGACCCAACTGTACAGCGCCTTGGGACGTCCTCCCGACGTGAAAGGCGCTCAATAAATGGAATCTTGTTGTTGTTGTTGTATACAGGGACGATGGGGGGATTCCTGTGTGATGGGGAGGGGGGGAACTGTCCACTTGCCCCCCAGTAATCTCTCTCTCTCTCTCTGTTCTCTTCTCAGTGATTTCCTGATTCTTCCCGGGTTCATTGACTTCTCAGCCGAGGAGGTGGTGAGTGAGCGGAGAAACAGGTTGTTGCGTTGTTGAGGTGGTGGGGAGGGAAGGATCTAACCACTCCTATAGTGTGCATGTGTGTCTCCTTCCCCCACGTATGTAATTCAGTGGTTAAAGCACTCGCCTCGCAAGCGAGAGGACCTGGGTCTGATTCCCGGGCACGTCAGGGCAAAACCTTAGGCAAGTTTCCTTACTCGACATGGTACATCTCTGCGGGTTAGTGGTGATCCCTGGTGGTGTTAATCTGCGTTACTCTATATATAATCCCCAAACCCTCTGGATAAGATTCCAGCCTGCAACTCGCTCTAGGGGTGTGTTATTCTACAGCTAACCCCTTAAAATAAATAACAAAATAAAATAATAATGCGGTCACTCAATCCACGACTGTTGTGGGGACACTGCTGTGCGCAATTGCCTGCCATGTTTCGCCCACAAAATATACAGTCACTGCACTTTACAGTATATTCTGTGAAGCGCTTTGAGACGTCTCAACGTTGTGATAAAGCGCTGTATCAAATGCAAAGATAATTATTATATACCCACAAACCCTCTGGATCAGATATCAGTCTGTAACTCAATCTAGGGATGTGTTATTCTATATGTAACCCCATCCACCAGGATAAGATTCCAGCCAGCCACTCACTCCTGAGGATGTGTTACATGCCCCTCCCATTAGTAATTTGTCTTGGCTCCCGTGTACTGTGAGATTGTGTGCTGGGGGGAGTTGTTGGTTTTGTTGAGACAGCGGGAAATGTGAGGCTGTTTATCTGTGTGTTTGTCTCCCCCTCACTTGCAGGACCTGACCTCTGCCCTCACCAAAAAAATCACTCTGAAGACCCCACTAATCTCCTCTCCCATGGACACAGTGACCGAGTCCAGCATGGCCATCGCCATGGGGGTAAGTCACCGCACATACTCAGTGGTTAGAGCACTCGCTGGGCTGGGCAAAACCTTAGACAAGCTTCCTTACTCCACACATCTCTGTTTACCAGCAGTAGATAGGAACCCAGATGTTATTCGTTTGGCGGATCACTTTTCTGGGGGTAATTATCCCAGCCTCATCCAGCTGTACAGGCTGTTTGGACCTGTTGTCTAAGCTGGAGGTCCGTTGTCTAAGCTGGAGGTCCGTTGTCTGAGCTGGAGGTCCGTTGTCTAAGCTGGAGGTCCGTTGTCTAAGCTGGAGGTCCGTTGTCTAAGCTGGAGGTCCGTTGTCTAAGCTGGAGGTCCGTTGTCTAAGCTGGAGGTCCGTTGTCTAAGCTGGAGGTCCGTTGTCTAAGCTGGAGGTCCGTTGCCTAAGCTGGAGGTCCGTTGCCTAAGCTGGAGGTCCGTTGCCTAAGCTGGAGGTCCGTTGCCTAAGCTGGAGGTCCGTTGCCTAAGCTGGAGGTCCGTTGCCTAAGCTGGAGGTCCGTTGCCTAAGCTGGAGGTCCGTTGCCTAAGCTGGAGGTCCGTTGCCTAAGCTGGAGGTCCGTTGCCTAAGCTGGAGGTCCGTTGCCTAAGCTGGAGGTCCGTTGCCTAAGCTGGAGGTCCGTTGCCTAAGCTGGAGGTCCGTTGCCTAAGCTGGAGGTCCGTTGTCTAAGCTGGAGGTCCGTTGTCTAAGCTGGAGGTCCGTTGTCTAAGCTGGAGGTCCGTTGTCTAAGCTGGAGGTCCGTTGTCTAAGCTGGAGGTCCGTTGTCTAAGCTGGAGGTCCGTTGTCTAAGCTGGAGGTCCGTTGTCTAAGCTGGAGGTCCGTTGTCTAAGCTGGAGGTCCGTTGTCTAAGATGGAGGTCCGTTGTCTAAGCTGGAGGTCCGTTGTCTAAGCTGGAGGTCCGTTGTCTAAGCTGGAGGTCCGTTGTCTAAGCTGGAGGTCCGTTGTCTAAGCTGGAGGTCCGTTGTCTAAGCTGGAGGTCCGTTGTCTAAGCTGGAGGTCCGTTGTCTAAGCTGGAGGTCCGTTGTCTAAGCTGGAGGTCGGTTGTCTAAGCTGGAGGTCGGTTGTCTAAGATGGAGGTCCGTTGTCTAAGCTGGAGGTCCGTTGTCTAAGCTGGAGGTCCGTTGTCTAAGATGGAGGCCCTGATCACTGCTTTGTTTCCTGCAGCTGATGGGGGGCATTGGAATCATTCACCATAACTGTACTCCCGAGTTCCAGGCCAACGAAGTACGGAAAGTGAAGGTGAGGCATCAGCAGAAAGCTTCAGCCACTACGCCCCGAAACTATGGAACACTCTTTCTCTATCCCTCCCTCCGCTTTGCCCCCTTCCTTCCCCAACTTCAAATCGCACCTGAAGACCTACCTCTTCGACGGTGCCTACAGTCACCTCCCCCCAGCTTGGTGCTGAGCTCCGCCACCGTCGAGCGCTCCGGGACTCTACGCTGCGTGGAGGGCGTTGTGTCAATGCAAGTTCTTGTTGTGTGAGTTGTGCCCCTGTGTGGCCCAGTCATCTTCGACTGCGCCTTCGGTCACCCTCCTGCCCCCACCCTCCCTGCCCTTCACCCTCTTACCGCCACCCTCCCTGCCCTTCACCCTCCTACCCCCACCCTCTCTGCCCTCCACCCTCCTCTCCCTACCCTCCACCCCTCCTGTTCCCAACTCCCAGCTCGGGTCCAAATCCCTGACTGTCGGGCATCTGGTGACGTCCTCCCGATGTGAAAGGCGCCGTGTAAATGTCACTTGTTGCTGTTGTTATCATGGCTTCTCCCCTCATTGTCAGCCATGGTCTCTTACAGAAATTCGAGCAGGGGTTCATCACGGATCCCGTGGTCATGAGTCTCCACCACACGGTCGCCGACCTCTTCGAAGCCAAGATGCGCCACGGATTCTCCGGCATTCCCATCACGGAAACGGGAAAGATGGGAAGCAAGCTGATGGGTATCGTTACCTCCCGGGATATCGACTTCCTCTCCGAGAAAGATTACGACATTGCACTGAGTGAGGTAGCTCTTTGTTGCAGGTTTATATATAGTGACAGACCTGACCTAGAGCGTAAGGAGTTCCAGCACAGACACGATGGGGAGAGAGAGCAGGGAATGGGGTTAGAGAGCTCCAGTGGGGGAGCGAGCCCCAGCACAGACACGATGGGGGAGAGAGAGAGAGAGCAGGGAATGGGGTTAGAGTAGAGAGCTCCAGTGGAGGAGCGGAGTTGTCTGTAACGTGTTGCTTGTCCTCAGGTGATGACAAAGAGGGAAGATTTGGTGGTGGCCCCGGCTGGTGTGACACTGAAAGAGGCCAATGAGATCCTCCAGCGCAGCAAGAAAGGTACTGCCTGCCACGGGGTGTGGGGGTGGGGGGGCGCTGTGGGAATTCTATATTGAGGAATAATCCCCATCTCCTCATCACAACATCCAGCTGCTTTGTAAATAATTCCCGGTTTCCTGACCTCAACCACCCTTCCTGCCAACCCTGTCCCAGTCAATATTTACCCTCTGGGTAAACAACCACTTCCTGGTGTCTGTCTGTCCTGAAATTACCTCGAATCCCTCTGTGTTCTCTTGTTCTGCTGTGTCCCAAAGTATTGTTCTGAGTATATTTTTTCAATCCTGTTTAACATCTTGGCACTCGCCGGGGGGGCACTCATCAGTCGGACCCTCGCTGGGTTGGCACTCGCCAGGCGGGCACTGACCAGTCGGGCTGGCCAGAGCTCTGTAGTATTGTGTCTGGGGATCTGAACACAATTGACTTAACAACCCAAATCTATTTTGCCCACAAACACACAGTCACTACACTGTGAAGGGCTGTGAGTCTCGCTGACGGGATAAGGCATTGGGTCAAATGTAAGGATTATGGTACCAGGAAGAAGCAACAATGGACAGTCACAAAGCACGGAGCGGAGTGGAATAGAGCGTGGGAGCGGGCCACCAGCAGAAGGATTGCACTTCCCGCTCAACACTGCCGGTAGGCGGAGCGGAGCTCCGGGATGGGTGGGGGGGCCACTCACTGCTGTCTGTGCCTAACGCTACACAGCCCCCCGGCCCTGGTAATCAGGAGCCGGTTTACTCCTCGTGTGTGTGTGGTTTTTATTAATACAATAACTTCCAATAATCCCATTAATTATCTCACATGCTCACATCCGAGCTACTTCATTCCCTGTTGCTCCTCTTTCGAGTGGACTAACCCTCCCTCCTTGCATGTGTTTGTGTTATCAATACAATTAAAAACCTTGGCCCATTTCTGATCAGTCTCCTTCCAGTGTTGGGTTCAAAGAATCTTCGATTGATCAACATTAAGTCCCGCAGCTCAGTGGTTAGAGCACTCGCCTTACAAGCGAGAGGACCCGGGTTTGATTCCCAGGTCAGGGTGAAACCTAAGGCAAGTTTCCGTACGCACACGCCTGTTTACCAGCAGTCAGTAGGAACCCGCTTGTCAGTCAAATGGGGAATTGCTTTCCGGAGGTAATAATATAAGAATCCTTGCAGTTGATATATCGCCTTATTGCATCTCAAAGCGCTTCACAGAATATATCGTAAAGTGTTGTGACTGCGTATTTTGTAGGCAAAACGCAGCAGCCAATTTCGCACAGCAACATCCCACACAGTCATGAATTTAATGACCAATTCTTTTTAAGGGATTATTACCCTCAGAAAGCGATCCGCCAATCGACTAACAACTGGGTTCCTACTCACCGCTAGGCCAACAGAGGTGTGTGGAGTAAGTTAACTTGCCCAAAGTTTCACCCCGCCCGGGAATCAAACCCAGGTCCTCACGCTTGCGAGGCGAGTGCTCTAACCACTGAGCTACAGGACTAGTTATTATAGGTTTCCCATTGATTCCCCGTGCTGTAAGGCTGAGTCGTTGTCACAGAGTTTGGGTTTGCTGAAATTAAATTTAATTAGATCATTGGCAAAAGAACCAGAGGGAAGACATGGGGACATTTTTTGCCCAGAGAGTTGTTACGGTCTGGAACCCACCGCCGCCTGAAAGGCTGGTGGAAGCAGATTCGATAGCAGCTTTCAAAAGGGAATTGGATATGTACAAAAAAAGGAAAAAACGTGCAGAGCTATGGGGTTGGAGCAGGAGGGCGGGACCGGTTGGTAACTCCTTCAGAGCGCCAGCTCAGGCTCGATGGGACGGTTCTGTGCGTGGCTCTGTGCCTCTGACAGTGGCGGTGTGGTGTGTGGGTGTTTGTCAGTGGGACAGACCGGAGAGGTTGAGCCAAACTTTGAGACATTTCTTACCTGAGCGTTGCTGTGTTACCTGAGTTACTGAGGGTTAATGTCTGCTCTGCATTGCCTGTATTTTACCAGCTCGCTGGTGTGTTTACTTATGCCGTACCCCCTCCTTCCCCCCCCCCCACCACCCGGTACCTGACACTAACTGTGTGCTGGGACTGGAGATTATTCATCAAACTGGGGCCTGATTCTCTTTCTCTGGTGTGTGCCCCTCTCTCTTTCTCTCTCTCTGTTTCTCTCGTTCTCTCTCATTTTTGGGCTCTGATTCTCTTATGTGTTCTCTCGCGTTCTCACTCTTTCTCTCTCACCCTCTCTCTAACACACTCACTCTCTCCTCCCTTTCTCTCCGTCTCACATTCGCCCTCTCCCTCTCTCTCTCTCCCTGACAAACACTCCCTCTCTCCCTCTCCCTATTGTTCCATCCCTCTCACACACTACCTCTCTGCCTCCCTCCCCGGTAGGGAAGCTGCCAATAGTGAATGACGCTGACGAACTGATCGCCATCATCGCAAGGACTGACCTAAAGAAGAACCGTGACTATCCTCTGGCCTCCAAGGATTCCCGCAAACAGCTGCTGTGTGGGGCGGCCATTGGCACCCGAGAAGACGACAAGTACCGGCTCGACCTGCTGGTGCAGGCGGGGGTGGACGTCATCGTACTGGTCAGTCTGTCTGTGTGTGTGTGTGTGTGGGGGGGGGTCGCGTATGTGGGAGAGGGGGGCCTGTGTGTGCCGAGGAGGGAAGCGTCGTTCAAGATCCAGCCGGGGTTTGACCTCCTGACTCCCTGGTTTCCAGGATTCATCCCAAGGAAACTCGGTGTTCCAGATCAACATGATCCATTGCATCAAACAGAGATACCCCGAACTGCAAGTGGTGGGCGGCAACGGTGAGTGCTCAGCCCCACGTTTCACCCCGTCTTTCGCTCCAGCCCTCTGCGCTGTGTGGATGGACACCGGCTCTGGTTTATAGTGTCCACACAGCGCAGAGCAGAGCTTAATGTCATCCATGGATGGAACGGAGAGAGGGGGCTCCAAAGGTTTGGGGCACAGTCGCTGACGGAGCGGGAGGGGGGAGGGGAGGTGGGGGCAGACTGTGGACCTCCCAGAGTAGCGAGAGGGGCGTTTAAGAAATGGATTCAGTCAGTAACAGAGTTGTGAATTCAACGGCTCTGAGACACTGTCACGCGTGAGGAATGCTGTGTAAATGTACATTGTTGTTGTTGGTGTTAAATGACTGATTCTTTCTCTTCTGTCTTTCTCCCTCCCTCTCTCGCGCCCTCCCTCCCTCGCGCCCTCCCTCCCTCCTACTCTCGCGTCCTCCCTCCCGCCCTCCCTCGCGCCCTCTCTCGCGCCCTCCCTCCCTCTCTCGCGCCCTCCCTCCCTCTCTCGCGCCCTCCCTCCCTCTCTCGCACCCTCCCTCCCTCTCTCGCACCCTCCCTCCCTCCCTCTCTCGCGCCCTCCCTCCCTCTCTCGCGCCCTCCTTCCCTCTCTCGCGCCCTCCTTCCCTCTCTCGCGCCCTTCCTCTCTCCCTCGCTCGCTCCCCCTCTCGCTCCCTCCCTCCCTCTCTCGTGCCCACCCTCCCTCCCTCATGCCCTCCCTCCCTCATGCCCTCCCTCCCTTTCTCGCTCCCCCTCTCTCTCCCAGTGGTAACAGCAGCCCAGGCCAAGAACCTGATTGACGCTGGAGTGGACGCGCTCCGTGTGGGGATGGGCTGTGGCTCCATCTGCATCACTCAGGAAGGTGGGTGTCAAGCGGTTGGGAGAGCCACGATGGGGAGAGAGAGAGTGAGCAGGGAATGGGGTTAGAGAGCTCCAGTGGGGGAGCGAACCCCAGCACAGTCACCATGGGGAGAGAGCAGGGAGTGGGGGTAGAGTACCCAGTGATGTGTTGGTGTGTTATTTACAGTCATGGCGTGTGGCAGACCGCAGGGCACAGCGGTGTACAAGGTGGCAGAGTATGCCCGGAGGTTCGGGGTCCCGGTGATCGCGGACGGCGGCATCCAGACCGTGGGACACGTGGTGAAGGCGCTGGCGTTGGGAGCCTCAACAGGTGAGCAGAGCCTCCATGTGCTCTTGCACTGCCCCCTGGTGGCCAGTCTGGGCCTCGCACTGCCCCTGGTGGCCAGTCTGGGCCTCACACTGCCCCGTGCTCTCGCACTGCCCCTGGTGGCCAGTCTGGGCCTCACGCTGCCCCGTGCTCTCGCACTGCCCCCTGGTGGCCAGTCTGGGCCTCGCACTGCCCCCTGGTGGCCAGTCTGGGCCTCACGCTGCCCCGTGCTCTCGCACTGCCCCCTGGTGGCCAGTCTGGGCCTCACGCTGCCCCGTGCTCTCGCACTGCCCCCTGGTGGCCAGTCTGGGCCTCACGCTGCCCCTGGATTATTCAAACGCACTCCTCGCCGGTCTCCCCAGCTCCACAATTCAAAGGATCGGCACATTCAGAACTCTGCCGCCCGCAAACTTACCCGGACCAACTCCGTACCCACTCTCTGGCATCTCCCTCCCTCTCCGACCTCCTCCTCCTCACTCCCCAATTCACCACCTGCACCTCCGCTCGACTGGCACCGGCTCCTGCTCATGTGGAGTCCTGTGGCTCAGTGGTTAGAGCACTCGCTTTGCAAGTGAGAGACCTGAGTTCAATCCCAGGCAGAGGGCGAAACCTCGGGCAAGTTTCCTTACTCCACACAGAGCCTAATAATAATCCCTCCAAAACAAAAAACAATAATAAATTGGTCATTTTCAATCTACGACACTTTGTGGGACATTGCTGTGCGCAATTGGCTGCTGAGTTCGCCCACAAATATACAGTCAATTCACTTTACTGTTCTGTGTTCTGTGAAGTGCTTTGGGACGTCCTCCCGACGTGAACAGCGCTATATCAAATGCGAGGATTATTATTATTATTATCCCTCGTACCCTCCACCCCACCATCGATGGCTGCGCTTTCAGCCACTACACCCCGAAACTCTGGAACACTCTCCCTCAATCCCTCCGCCTTGCCCCCTCTCCCACCCCTTTTTCAAGTACCACCTGAAGACCTTCCTCTTCGGCCACCTCCCCCCCACCCCGCGGCTCGGAGTCAGGCTCCGTCACCTTCAAGCGCTCTGAGACTTGTGCAAGTTGTTGTTGTGGTAGTGGTGGCCAATTCCAGGCCACTCACTGCTGATGACAGCACAGCCCGGCCTGGCCTTCCTCATCAGCAGGACCTGGAAGGGCCGACCAGTCACTGGGGGCAGGAAATCCTCCCCCTCAGCTCCTGTTAACCCCACAGCCAAAGCCTTAACTAACAGGGAGGGGGGTCCTAGCTGGACAAGCAGCGGGAAAGCTTGTCAGACAGCGCTCTCTCTCTCACTGGCAAGCTGTGTGGGTTTAGCTGGTTAGACTCCAGCAGTTACCCCAACACACACTCTGGGCCCCCCCACAAGCCTTGGGTTTTGCAAACCTGCGCCTAATACTCCGGAATTGGGTAATCAGGATGTGTCCCTCCAAGGAAAGAGAGAGAGCGCATTCCATTCCAACATTCTATCTCTGGGATGTGTAGGTGGGATGTGGGGAATTCTCAGTTGGGTTTGGAGACTGTTAAGCTCAGTGATGGGTTTCCGTATGTGTAATTTTTTGGCTGAAAAATGGGCGCGGGACGGTTTGATGTGAGTGTGTGTGTGGAGTATGAGGATGATGGGGTACTGACACCTGCCTGTGTCTCTCTCTGTGCCCCTCTGTGCTGTGCCATCGGACAGTCATGATGGGCTCTCTCCTGGCCGCCACTACAGAAGCCCCCGGAGAATATTTCTTCTCAGATGGTGTGAGGCTGAAGAAGTATCGGGGGATGGGCTCACTCGACGCCATGGAGAGGAACACCAGCAGCCAGAAACGCTACTTCAGGTGAGGATGGAGACCCCCTAAACCCCCCCCACCTCCACCCGGTTATTGGCTCAACCTACACACACCCCCATCTGAAGTCCTGTAGCTCAGTGGTTAGAGCACTCGCCTCGCAAGCGAGAGGAACCTGGGTTCGATTCCCGGGCGAAGTTTCCTTACTCCACACACTTTTGTTCACCAGTAGTAAGTAGGAACCTGGTCGTTATTTTATTGGTGGATCACTTTCTGGGGGTAACAAAAAAAATTAGGGTCACTCAACCCATGACTGTTTGTGGGGCCGCTGCTGTGCACAATTGGCTGCCATGTTTCGTCCACAAAAAACAATCAATTCACTTTACAGTGTATCCTGTGAAGTGCCTCCCACCTTGTCCTCCACACATATCTCTGCCCCACCCCCCCCCCCCGCCGCCCCTCATGGCTGAACTCTGGGATCTGTGTTTTTCCAGCGAAGGCGATAAGGTGAAAGTGGCGCAGGGTGTCTCAGGCTCGGTCCAGGACAAGGGATCCATCCACAAGTTTGCTCCTTACCTGATCACAGGCATCCAGCACGGCTGCCAGGACATCGGAGCCAAGAGCCTGTCCATACTACGGTGAGCAACACAGACTGCAACCTCACCCATGTTCTCACCCCCACTCTACACTGTGCGTCCACACTGCCTCAGGGTTAGACACACCGTAAAGCTCCCTCTACACTGTGTGGGGTGTGGGAGTGCTGTGTGGGAGTGATGTGTGTGTGTGTGTGTGTGGTTGCTGTGTGTGTATGTGTGCATTGACCCTGTGTGTCCTGTCTCCCTCTCTCTCAGGTCCATGATGTACTCAGGAGAGCTCAAGTTTGAGAAACGAACCATTTCTGCTCAGGTTGAAGGAGGTGTACATGGTTTGCACTCGTAAGTCTCTGTTCTTCCCCTTCTCCACTCGCCATCCCAGCCCCCACTCACCCACCCACACACACAGTCTTAGGGCAGCTTCTGGCAGAATAGCTCCCTCCTCCCAGCTCAGCCTCCGACACTCACTGCAATGCCAGTGGGGGTGGGAGTTCCTTCAAATTCTCTTTCACACAACAGCTTCCACTCAGCCTCCCCCCAATTCCTGACAGGACCCAGCACTGAAATGCAGATGGCCTCCAGCTATAACCACCTGTTCACCAGGGCTGTTTAACAGTGGTTGTGACCCACACGTTCAGCCAGGCAGGGCAGCCTCGAGCATGTGGTTTGGGTGTTGAAGACAACAACAACTTGTATTTATACAGTGACCTTCACGCAGGGAGAGTCTCTGAGCACTTAACAACCAACAACAACAAATTACATTTATATAGCGCCTTTCACATCGGAAAGATATCCCAAGGCACTAACAGCGGTGTGGTTTGACACCGAGCTGGAAGGGGCGGGGAGAGGGGGAACTGAAGGCACCATTGAAGAGGAAGGTCTTCAAGTGGGATTTGAAGACTGGTAGGGAGGGGTTGAGGCAGGGAATTGCGGAGCTTTGGGGTGCAGTGGCTGAAAGCATGGCCACCAATGTTGGAGCGGAAGGGATGAGGGAGGTGCAGGAGGCCAGAACTGGATGAACGGAGGCGGTGGGTGGAGGAGTGGGGAGTGAGCAGGTCAGAGAGGTAGAGAGGTGCCAGAATGTGAAGAGGCTTCCAGTGGGGGAGGTGGGTATCCTGACTATGTAGAACCCAGAGACCCAGCACAGTGCATGTGGAGTCCAGTAGCTCGGTGGTTAGAGACTGGCCTCGCAAGCGAGAGAACCTGGGTTTGATTCCCGGGCAGAGCGAGTTTCCTTACTCCACACTCCTCTGTTTAGCAGCAGTGAGTAGGAACCCGATTGTTGTTAGTCGATTGGCGGATCGCTTTTCTGGGCGTAATAATCCCTTCAAAAATTTTCTATATAAATAATAATAATTTGGTCACTCAACCCACGACTGTTTGTGGGACGCTGCTGTACACAAATGGCTGCTGTGTTTTGCCCACAAAATATGTAGTCAATTCACTTTACAGTACAGTCTGCAAACCTCTTTGAGACGTCTCGAAGACGTGATAAGGCGCTGTATGAAATGCAAGGATTATTATGTGCTGTCCTCGCCTGCTATCTCTATGCTTTGCTGTAGCCAGTGCTGTGTAGAGTAACTGTAAAACACTGGTTGTTTCACCCACAATCTTCTCTCTCTTTACTTCTGCGTCACCTGTCAGGTACACATTTCTACCATGTAAGTATTGGGATACCCATGAGTGGGTGGGTCACTGTGTGGGGGGAGTGGGTGGGTCACTGTGTGGGGGGAGTGGGCGGGTCACTGTGTGGGGGGAGTGGGCGGGTCACTGGGTGGGGGGGAGTGGGCGGGTCACTGGGTGGGGGGAGTGAGCGGGTCACTGGGTGGGGGAGTGAGCGGGTCACTGGGTGGGGAGGGGGTGAATAATGGTGAACTAGTTAATGCACTCTCTCACAGTGCCAGTCAATGGTCAGTGGATGTCCCTGCCCTGATGTGTAGGGTCTCTGTTGGTTTGGGCTAACGATACTAACACACATCTAAATCCTTTCCACCCAAATTCATTCAGAACCAAAGCTAGAAACCGTGTTAACAAACCCTCCACCGACCTCACTCTCAATGTCTGTTCTCCATCTCAGGAAGTAATGTGTTTTACCAGAGAGCGAGTTTCCCCCCCACGGTGTGATCTCTGGGTTTCGGGAGGGGTGGGGTTGGGGGTTGAGGGTAGAGCATCAGAACCCGATCCCAATGAGAGCGAGAGGTGGGGATGGACTGGGAGTCGGTGGGTGTCGGTCGCTGACTGTGTGGTGGTCTCTGCTTGTGACTGTACTGGACACTGTGCCACTGAGACCATCGCCGGTGGTCTTCTCCCACCACCCCTCACCACACACACACACACACACACGCTGTGGTTGCGCATGGACAGGGTGAGCCAACACAGAGATCGGTCATTGAGCGAGCGAGTGAGTGAGCGAGAGAGAGAGAGAGAACCCCGAGCCATGCCTCACCCCCTCTTTTCCCTTGGTTTTCTTTTCAGTTACGAAAAGCGTCTGTTCTGAAGGTGGAGGAGGGAGCCGAGGGTCTCAGTGTTTGGCTCCCAGCATCCCCACCCCCATGGCAATCACGCACACACGACACGTCTGACCATCCACCCCCCCCAGGGATGGGGGGGAGATGCACACACCCAAAGGGGCAACCCTCTTTCCCACCAACAATCCCCATCCCAATAGCAATCAATCCCACCTCACGTGTCTGACAATCAACCCCACTCCACACACCTGACCACCGAGCTCCCCAACCGGGGGGGGGGGAGACACAAACACACACACAGATAGAGGGCAACTCCCCCTTCCCACACCCACCAGCCACCCCCCACTCACCTTCACCGGCTCCTGACACTTAACCTCAACCTAAACCATTGGAGACTGAGAGGCTGCGGAGAGGAGAGAAACGTGGTAATGAAGCTACAAGCCGGTGTGGTCGGGAGCAGGAGTCCTGAAGCCCAGGCTGGGAACGTGCTGCTCTGTCCCGGCTCGGCTCAGATACTCAGAGATTATTCCGTTAATGATTTTTTTTGCCAGAATTGTTTTTTGTTGCTGTTTGTTGTTTTGGAAAGAGGTTACATTCTGAATAACGTTTGTTCTGCTTTGTATCTTTCGCTCTCCCCCCGTCCCCCCGTCCTGCTGTTCACCAGCGCTCTAGTGACTGAGCCCCTTCTAACAGCCTTTCAACGCTTTGTCTGGAGTTGTACTTCGTGTGGAGTCCTGTAATGTTGCGCTGAAAAGGAACCCACTTGTTTGTCGATTGGTGGATCGCTTTGCAGGAGTAATAATCAGTGGGGGGAGAGGAGCGGGAGGGGGAGCTGTGACACTTAAATTGCATTGAAGCAGTTTTCCTCTGGTTTGGAGCGGCAGAAATCAGAGTCCTGAGACACACAGCCGCCCAGAAATGGACTGGTCTCCACAAACTCCCCTCCGTACCCACTCATCTCCCGCTTTTCCCCCTCCTCTTCCTCTCTTTCCCCCCAATCTCCACCCATCTCCTGGATCACGGGAGGTGAAGCTTTTGTCACTGTCCTCAGGGTGCTGAGGACGGTGTGTGTTAAGCATGTTCTCAGGGTAACAGGGAGAGGAATAGAGGAGAGTGTGTTAAGTATGTTCTCAGGGTAACTCGGGGCAAGGGGACAGGAAGAGGCAGGTGCGTGTTAAACGTGTGGACTGAGTTTCAGGTGCAATGTCTCTGTGTGAGAGGCAGGGCTGCCTTGTGAAAGTTGTAAAGAAAACAGAGCCTCACCTGTGAGGTGTTGGTTTCACACCACATTGTGAAGCCCCAGATTTTATAATTGGGGGCGGTGGGGGGGAGGAGGGGAACGAGAGGCTGCTCAGCGGCTAAGCACACAGATTGGCTCCGCTCAGGAACGATTGTGTAGCTGTGTGGACAGTCACTCACACTCTGTAGTTGGCTGGTATGGAGCGAGGGTAGGTGTGTGCTCTGTGTGTGCTACACACATTCCATTGAGGTGTCAGCCCGGCTCAGTCAGTCACTGTCTGTGCTCAGTCACCCAATAGACACTCTGGGATCCCCAAACCTTGGCTCTTACTTAAGACTGTACCTAATACTCTCCAGAATTAGGTGATACGCACGTGTGCTCCCCTGTCCACTCCCCCTCTCTCTCTCTCCCTCCTCATATACGAACTCCAGACCTTCCTGATCTGACCTCGTTCCTGTCCCCTACCCCCTCAATTACAGCATTTCAGTTTACTCCACGGGTCCAATGGATTTCCTTCACCTCCTCCTCACCTTTGTGTGACTCTCAGAGCTGTTGACTGTTGGGCTCTCGCTGTGGACATTACCTTGTGGCTTCACCCTTTGTGGGGAGAACATTGACGTGTTTGTGACTCTGGAGCAGAACTGGTAAAGCTTGATACTCATACACACGGCGAGAGTAAGCCAGAGGAAGAAAGGCACAACTCCTTGTGATGTATGTATGTCTGTCTGTGTTTGTCTTGCTCTCTGTGTCTCCTCACCTTGTCTCTGCAGAGCATCTCGCCGATCGTGCTGTGTTTACAAGGTGGTTACCTCCACCTTAGCATGAGCCCCACAACATGCTGACAGGTCTAACCCCCTCCCCCCGCACAAACCAGGAACGGTCTGTTCCACCAGGAACCCTCTGGGAGCTGAAGGAAAAGGCAAGGAATTTTTTTTAGAGAACGGAGCTTCTTCCATCTGCTAGGATTGTTCCCGGTGAAGGAGTGAGACTGAAGAGTGGGCGTCACCAAGTGTCAGAATATTCCTGGCTCTCTGCAGTGAACAGTGTCCTGGGAGCCATTTGGATACATGGAGGAAAATGAGCCGTAAGCGTAGAGGCTGATTGTTACCACCAGGTGGCGCTGGGACACGCTCGCCTGTGTTGGTGGAGCCCCCTAGTGCATCTTCAGTGAATGTTCTTTCTGATGAGAATTGGGGTGCGGGTGGGGGAGGGGAGGGGAAGTGGATGGAGAATTGTGTCGACCCCTCAATGCTTTTGGACCAAACTTTACAGCTTGAATTAGCTTCAGTAATGCACAAAGCCTCCCAGAAAGCAACAGCACTGAGCTAACCTGTAGTCAAACTACCCGCACAGGATATCCCTGGGAGGGGATGGGCTGGGGAAGGGGCTGCTTTTGGGGGCTCCCTGATTCCCACCCCCCCCCTACAGCCCAAACCCAGCTCTTTACACTCCCTTTGCCCAACCGCTTAATAGCACCAGTGTGTAGCACCTGAACCTCAACCGTGTACTCCTCTGGCAGTGTTTTCGTAATAAAAAAAGCCAAAAAAATTGAATAGAGTTTACAGCATTTTGTCATGTTCTTCAGTTGAATTGATCCAGCTCGGGTCAATTCCCTGACTGATCAGAGCCTTGGGACGTCCGCCCAACGTGAAAGGGGCTATACAAATGTAATTTTGTTGTTGATGTTGAGTGGGTTGACTCCCTGTCCCCAGTGACTGGTCTGCCTTTCCAGGTCCTGCCCTTCCAGGTTCCACACTCATCTACTGTTAACCCTGCAGCCAAAGCCCTAAGGGTTAGAGTGGTCCCAGCTGGACAAGCAATGGGAAAGCTGGCCAGACAGTGATATCAATGGCAGGCTATATGGTTTTAGCTGGTGAGACTCCAGCAGTTACCCCAACGCACACACGAGGGTCCCCAGGCCTTGGTCCTTGCCAACCTGCGCCTAATACTTTCTGGAATTAGGGAAGCAGGAAGAAAGTGTATGTTCAATTCAAACAATCTATCTCTGGGATTTCCATGTGTAGGTGGAATGCATGGAATTCTCAGCTCGGTTTGGAGACTGTTCAAGCATGATGATGGGTTTCCACCTGTGTCAGACACCCGGCTGACCAAACACTGTCTCCCTTGCTGGCTCGGTTTTGCACAGGTGTCTAAACTGCTGAATCAGTAGTTTTGGGCTGAAGGTAATCCTCAGCTTCTGATTAAGGTATAAATAGATCAGATTAGTCTTCTTAAAGGTGAAACACACATCTAAAGCTATGTGTGGGCCCCACCACTCCACCTGATCAAAGAGCCATTTCCTGGAATGACAAGGAGTGCTAACAGAATGAGGGGTGGCCGTTTGTCTTATCAAGTCTGAGCTGGTGCTTCCTCCCCACTGGACTTCTCTCACTCGGGGAAGTAAGAGGTCAAAAGTATTTGGGCACTGCATCTCAGGAAGGATATATTGGCTCTGGAGGGGGTGCACCTCAGATTCACCAGAATGATACCAGGACTTAAAGGGTTACATTTTGAGGACGGGTGGCAAAAACTTGGTCTGTATCCCCCGGAGTTCAGAAGTTGAGGCTGACCTGTTCGAGCTTTTTAAAATAATAAAGGGATTTGTTAGGGTAGAAACTTCCACTGGTGGGGAATCCAGAACAAGAGGCATCATCTTAATATCGGAGTTAGACCATTGAGGAGTGAAATCAGGGGCAGGTTTTCACCCAAAGGCTAGTGGGTATCTGGAACCCTCTCCCTCCCCCAAAAGGCTGTGGATTATGACCGGATCCATTCACATTTTCAAGACTGAGGTGGAGAGATGTTTGTTAGGTCAGGGGATCAGGGGATACGGGGGGCAAAGGCGGGTAAATGGAGTTGAGGTACAGATCAGCAGAATAGAATAGAATGGCAGAACAAGCTCGAGGGGCTGAATGGCCTCCTCTTGTTTCTATGTATTCTCAATGGGGAGGAAATGGAGGAGAGAGACCACATGTGTAAGGACTGAGTGTTGAGGGGACATAAGAAATGCTGGATGAAAAAAGACCAAGATCCATCTAGTTCGTCTTCTACATATGTCCCAAACTACCTATGTACTCTATCCCATAATGTTATTTCCTAACTATCTATGTACTATATAGTACAGTAGAGGAGGGGGTCTCGATAAAATATTCCTCTGTCTCCCCACACACACACACCCTCTCCAGCGCCAGGTCTGACATATCAACAGATTGCTTATAAATATTTATCTTCACACTCAGTCCATGGCTGTTTGTGGGGACGCTGCTGTGTGCAATTGGCTGTTATGTTTCGTCCATAAAATACACAGTCACTGCACTTTACAGTATATTCTGTGAAGCACTTTGAGACGTCTCAATGTCATGATAAGCCGTTGTATCAAATGCTAAGATTATTATTATTATAAACCCAATCGCCTGAGCTGTGTCTGAGACGAGGCACTAGGACCTGGGGAAGCTGTGCTTACTGACAGGCTCAAGGGTACAGGTGTAAGCTGATGTCATGACAACAGGATGCCAGTCTACAGGCAGGTGAGCAGAGCACAGGTCAGAACCACAGGTGAGATACACAGGTGAGAGCAGAGCACAGGTCAGAACCACAGGTGAGAGCAGAGCACAGGTCAGAACCACAGGTGAGAGCAGAGCCACAGGTCAGAACCACAGGTGAGAGCAGAGCACAGGTCAGAACCACAGGTGAGAGCAGAGCACAGGTCAGAACCACAGGTGAGAGCAGAGCCACAGGTCAGAACCACAGGTGAGATACACAGGTGAGAGGTGTCTGACACACACGGAAACTGGTCACCGTGATCAGCGCTGACAGGAGCATCAACCTGGACTGTGAGCTCAGAGACCCTGAACCCACAACCTCCTCCTAACTCGGGGGAGAGAGAAAGCGTCTGAGACTTGAGTCTCCAGGAGTTAGAGTCAGCTAATAATGTAACATTTATGATTTTTTCCTCCTTACCCCCCACCCCCCCAACTCCCCCATTTCCCCCGGGCCCCCCCCAACTCCCCAATTTCTCCCGCCCCCCCCTGCTCCGCCATTTCCCCTCGCACCCCCATCTCGCTCATGACTACGCTGAATGTGTGGCCAGTAGTTTCCCCCCCCCATCCTATGCCCCCCTTGGCCCCCAACCTGTACCCCTCAACCCGTCTGTCCACTCCCCCTCTCCCCTTGCCCCCTCGCCCCTCTCTCCCCTCTGTTCATCTCTCCCCTCGCTCTCTCTCCCCTTGGCCCCCTCTCCTCTTGCCCCCAATCTACCCATATCTCTCGCCCCCTCCTCTCCCCCTCCCTCCTCGCCCCCACACTGCTCCTAGCTGGGGGTCGGCTCGGCAGTCTCGGGTTGCCGGGCTGACATGGCAGTGCCGGTGCCCAGGGCTGTGTATTCTCAGGCTCGGGAGAACCTGCTGCGGGCGGTGCCCCCTCACCTGGTCTGCTCCCTCTTGTGTCATGGCAAAGAGTGTCGTTATGAGGGTCCACAAGGCTGGAGCCCCCAACAGCAAGCCATCCGAGGGGTCTTCTCAGCCTGGTACGTGTGTGCGTACACTGTGCATGTGTGTGTGTGTCACTTTGTGTGTCTGTGCATACAATCCGTGTGTGTGTGTGACACTCTGCGCTTGTGTGTGTATCACTCGGTGTGTGTGTCACTAAGTGTGTGTGTCACTCTGTGGATGTGTACACTGCAATTGTGCCTACACTGTGTGTCAGTGAGGGTGTGACTGTCGGAGGACTGTCAGGGCTGTGACACAGTCGGAGCTGGTTTGCCTGTGTTTCCAGGGTAACAGATGACATCCTGGCCATGGCTCGTCCGACCAGCCTCAGCATCAGGAGCTATCAGCTGATCGAGCAGTTCAAGGCGTGAGTACAGTCACACAGCGCCTGACACTGGGGGGTTTGTGTGTGAGTCCAGTCGCACAGTGCCTGACACTGGGGGTTTGTGTGTGTGTGAGTAAAGTCACATAGCACTTAACACACACAGAGTTGAGGTGGGTGGATGGGCGGTGGGGTGGGGGGTCTGACACAGGCTAACTGGCTTGGAGCCGTCTGTCAGCCTGTGTCTCGGGACACTGTGTGTGTGACTGACTGAGAGCATCACCCACCACAAGACTGTTAGACACACCTGGAGCACACGGGATGGGGGGATAATATGAAGTCCTGTAGCTCAGTGGTTAGAGCACTTGCCTCACATGCGAAAGGACTTGGGTTCGATACCCAAACACAGCAAAGCCTTTGGCAAGTTTCCTTACTCCACACACCTCTGTTTAAGTAGCAGTAAGTAGGAACCTTCTTGTTAGGCTCTTTCTGTGAATAATAACCTCCAAAAAATCTCAATCTACGACTGTTTGTGAGACGTCGCTGTGTGTAATCGACTGCCGCCTTTCGCCCACAAAATACACAGTCAATTCACTTTACAGTATATCCTGTGAAGCGCTTTGAGACATCTCAAAGATGTGATAAAACGCTGTAGCAAATGCAACGATTATTATTATTATTATTATAATTTCAGCACAGCCACCAGGAAGTACCATCTTACAGGGAGGGGGTGGCTCAGAATGGAGCGCTGTGGGGGGTGGCGGGGAGGCAAAGGCCAGTACGTGAATAACAACAACAACAACAAAGTTACATTTGTACAGTTGTCGCGTTGAGAGGACGTCCCAAGGTGCTGGACAGTCGTGGTTTCGGACCCGAGCTTTGAGAGGGGAGGATGGTGGACGGGGGGGGGGGACGGGGGGAAACGGAGGAGATTCCACACGGGAATGACACCCGTGATTCCCTTGGTTTTTCAGATTAAACGTGAAATCTCTGATCAACCTGCAATTGGCGGGGGAGCACGCTCACTGTGGGGGGGCCCTGGAGCAGGACAGCGGCTTCTCATACCAACCCCAGCTCTTCATGGACAACAATAGTGAGTGGGGGTGGGGGGGGGGGAGAGTGGTGGGGGGAGAGTGGTGGGGGGAGGGAGAGAGGGGGAAAGAGGGTGGAGGACAATGAGAGACAGTGAGCGCGCGAGAGAGAGAGAGTGTGAGAGACAGAGTATGTGAGAGCAAGATGGTGAGTGTGACACAGGTGGGGAGCGAAAGAGAAGTGTTATATAAATCACATTTTATGATTTGTATGAAGTGAAGTTTTGGGATGAACGTCTTTCTTGATCGGGGCTGGGATGTGCCCAGTCACCTCCTCCCAGCGCCCACCCCAGCCCAGACCCCAGCCCAGCCCCCACCTGCGGGGTAAAGGTGTGCCAGGGCTGGAGAGAGTGGGGTCAGCTGCACCCTGTCACTGTAACAGGGAGGTTTGTCTCTTGGCCGGTGTTGTGGGGCTGTGTGTGTCTCACAATCTCCCAAAGTGTAATTAAAAACCAGTGTTTCACATTACACTGGAATTAACAAGAGCAGCTGTCACAGCGAAGGGCAGTGTGTGTGCGTCTGTGTGTGTGTGTGTGTGTGTGTGTGTGTGTGGGATCACCTTACCGTTTGGTTTTTACAATACCAGCCGTGTGTCTGACACATGTAGAAACCCGTCACCGTTGCTTAAGAATCTCCAAACCGAGCTGAGAATTCCCTGCATCCCACCTACACACGGAAATCCCAGAGATAGATTGTTGGAATGGAATGCGCTCTCTCTCTCTCCCTCCCTGGAGGGACACCCCCTGCTTACCTAATTCCACAGAGTATTAGGCGCAGGTTGGCAAGAGCCAAGGCTTGGGGAGACCCCAGAGTGTGTGTTGGGGTAACGGCTGGAGTCTAACCAACTAAAACCAACATAGTTTACCATTAATATCACTGTCCGGCCAAGCTTTCCCGCTGCTTGTCCATCGAGGACCACCCTCCCCGTTAGTTAGGGCTTTGGCTGTAGGTTTAACAGGATCTGATGGGGAGGATTCCCGGCCCCCAGTGACTGGTCGGTCCTTCCAGGTCCTGCTGATGAGTCGGGCCGGGCTGTGCTGCCATCAGTAGTGAGTGCCCCGGGATACTGGGGGGAAGTGGGGGGAGGGGGGATTGGGGTGCCTTTGCCTGAGAGTATCTGAGTCTCTGCCCTCCAATTCCCAGTTTACTTCTTTAACTTCGGAATGCCGGATTTCGGAGTAGCCTCACTGCTGCGCATCCTGGACGGAGTCAAGGTGATGGCATTTGCCCTGGAGCAGGGCAAGCTGGCCGTCCACTGCCATGCTGGGCTGGGTAGGACAGGTATGTGGTGGGGAGAGGAGAGTGTCTGGGGGGAGGGGCTGGGCTGGGGATGGATGTGCTAGACAGGACAGTTATGTGGGGGAGAGTGGGGGGTGACTGAAAGCACGGCTGACGATGGTGGAGGGGACATGGAGGCAGTTGGAGGCAGCTGAGTGGAGGTGATGGGTTCAGTTCCTATTGGGGTGTGAAGCTGGGTGCGAGGGTGGCCGGTTAGAGCCAGGCTAACTGTGCGTGTGCGTGTGCGTGTGTGAGAGCTCTGGTTAGAGCCAGTAACAGTGAATGCTGTGTCTGTGCTGTGCTGTGCTGTGCAGGGGTTCTGGTGGCCTGTTACCTGGTGTATGCGGCCTGGCTCAGTCCCAGTGAAGCTGTGCACTTTGTGCGGTTACGACGGCCGATGTCCATCCAGACCAGCTCTCAGATAAACCTGGTGTTCGAGTTTGGGCGGCTGGTGACCTCTCACCGGGCGGTGTACACCCGGGATGGACAGCCAATCACACTGCAGCAACACCTCGACCACCAGCGACAGTTACTACATGGCTACGAGGCGCGGCACCTCAAATATCTGCCCAAACCCGTGGACTTCCTGTGCCGCCGGCTGCTGTCGCTGTCACTGGGCAGGGAGAGCTGTGCCGTGGTGAGGACCGAGATACGCCGGGCAGTGGCTGACCGTCGACTGGCCAAGCAGGTCTGGGAGACCCTGAACGCCCGTGTAGGGTCCCGGCACACTCCCCCCTGGGCCTGGCAGCCGGTCACCGTGGTGCTGCCGAACACCACCACCCAGGGCCAAGCGCTGCCCAACACCAACACCAACAGCACCATTGGTGGGGACTCACTGAGTGAGCTGGAGCTGGAGGACTGGATCAGCGAGAGACCATGTTCTGCTCTCACCCTCGTCACCCTGACCACCCCGACACAGGTAACCCCATCACCCGGCCCCCCCCCGCGGGAATCACCCAAACCCCCCCGCGGGAATCACCCAACCCCCCGCGGGAATCACCCAACCCCCGCGGGAATCACCCCCCCCCCGCGGGAATCACCCAACCCCCCCCCCCCCCCGCGGGAATCACCCAACCCCCCCGCGGGAATCACCCAACCCCCCCCCCGCGGAATCACCCAACCCCCCCCCCGCGGGAATCACCCAACCCCCCCCGCGGGAATCACCCGGCCCCCCCCCCGGGAATCACCCACCCCCCCCCCCCCGCGGGAATCACCCGGCCCCCCAGAATTCACTGTCCATTGTGGTGACTGTGTATCGTGCAGTGACTGTTTATTGTGTAGTGACTGTGTATCGTGCAGTGACAGGTTCCAAACCTTTGTGTGATTGACAGACAGAGACCCACCTCAGCAACTTGGCTGCCAACGAGCCAATCAGGAGGCAGGTTTCGGGAATGTCGCTGCTGGAGAGCGTTGCCATGGCGATGGCGGCCGGCCCCGCCCTGGAGGAGGAGCTCCTGGGAAAGGTCCACCTGTGGCAGGTACCAGCCCCACCCTCTGGCCAGACCCCTGCCCCACCCTCACACCCCATGGTGTCAGGGTGAGGAGACTCTTCAGCCCATCTCTCTCTCTCTCTCCCACTCTCATCCTCTCTGTGTCTCTCTCTCCCACTCTCATCCTCTCTGTGTGTCTCTCTTTCTCACACACTCACACTCTGTCAATCTCTCTCGTCTCTCGTGCATTCGTTGGGTCAAGTTTCCTCACACTACACGGGAATCACACGCCTCCGTTTGCCAGCGAGTGGGAACCCAGTCGTTAGTCGGTTTGGAGGATCGTTTTTCCGAGCGATCCCTTCAAAAAAAAAAAAAAATTGGTCTCTTCATTCCACGGCTGTGGGTGGGACGTTGCTGTGCGCAATCGGCTGTCGCGTTTCACCCACAAATATACGGTCAATTCAATTTACAGTGTATTCTGTGCTTTGAGACGTCTCGAAGATGTGATAAGGCGCTATTTCAAATGCAAGGATTATTATTATTATTATTATTATTATTATTCTCACTCTCTTTCTCCCAGGCCAGACTGAGCGAGGAGCAAGGAGCCTGGGGGTGGCTGGCTACAGAGACTGACCCCCGAGTGCTCAGTGCACTGCTGTGGAGCTGGTTGGAGCATCTGAAGGTGGGTCAGTGTCTCCTGGGGCGAGGGGGTGGGTGGGTGGGGGGTGTGGGGGGTGGGGGAGCTCTCCTCGGATCTGAACTGGCTCCAAGGTGACTGGTTTCGTAATGGAATGTCGGAATCGAGTCAGTCCTCTGCGACAGTCTCAGGTCAGTCCGTAGTATTCCAGGGCAAACCCGGTGACACAAATTAAATCTGGTTTTAAACCTACGTCTTCAATTGTGCCTATAGTTACCATCACCGCTCCGCACCCACCCCCCCACCTCTGGTTCAGAGTCCGACCCATTAGTCTGTAACTCTCCGCGCTCCCCCACTTGACAGCCGGAGTGGTGCTGGCGGCTGATTGTAATAACAGTCACAGTTATTAACTCTCTGTTGCTTCCTCACTCCCAGGAGCCGGTGCTGAGGTCAGAAGATGTGGTGTTATTGCTCTCCAAACCCACAGCCGGGCAGAGCCTGTGGGAGCTGGAAAAGGTCAGTCCCTGCTCTCTCCCCACCGTGTCTGTGCTGGGGCTCACTCCCCCACTGGCACTCTCTAACCCCATCCCCTGCTCTCTCTCTCTCTCTCTCCCCACCGTGTCTGTGCTGGGGCTCGCTCCCCCACTGGCACTCTCTAACCCCATCCCCTGCTCTCTCCCCACCGTGTCTGTGCTGGGGCTCGCTCCCCCACTGGCGCTCTCTAACCCCATCCCCTGCTCTCTCTCTCTCTCTCCCCACCGTGTCTGTGCTGGGGCTCGCTCCCCCACTGGCGCTCTCTAACCCCATCCCCTGCTCTCTCTCTCTCTCTCCCCACCGTGTCTGTGCTGGGGCTCGCTCCCCCACTGGGGCTCTCTAACCCCATTCCCTGCTCTCTCCCCACCGTGTCTGTGCTGGGGCTCGCTCCCCCACTGGCGCTCTCTAACCCCATCCCCTGCTCTCTCTCTCTCTCCCCACCGTGTCTGTGCTGGGGCTCACTCCCCCACTGGCACTCTCTAACCCCATCCCCTGCTCTCTCCCCACCGTGTCTGTGCTGGGGCTCGCTCCCCCACTGGCGCTCTCTAACCCCATCCCCTGCTCTCCTCTCTCCCACCGTGTCTGTGCTGGGGCTCTCCCCCACTGGCACTCTCTAACCCCATCCCCTGCTCTCTCCCCACCGTGTCTGTGCTGGGGCTCACTCCCCCACTGGCACTCTCTAACCCCATTCCCTGCTCTCTCTCTCCCGCCATGGTGTCTGTGCTGGGGCTCACTCCCCCACTGGCACTCTCTAACCCCATTCCCTGCTCTCTCTCTCCCCCATGTGTCTGTGCTGGGGCTCGCTCCCCCACTGGCACTCTCTAACCCCATTCCCTGCTCTCTCCCCACCGTGTCTGTGCTGGGGCTCACTCCCCCACTGGCACTCTCTAACCCCATTCCCTGCTCTCTCTCTCTCCCCACCGTGTCTGTGCTGGGGCTCACTCCCCCACTGGCACTCTCTAACCCCATTCCCTGCTCTCTCTCTCCCCATGGTGTCTGTGCTGGGGCTCGCTCCCCCACTGGCACTCTCTAACCCCATTCCCTGCTCTCTCTCTCCCCATGGTGTCTGTGCTGGGGCTCACTCCCCCACTGGCACTCTCTAACCCCATTCCCTGCTCTCTCTCTCTCTCCCCATGGTGTCTGTGCTGGGGCTCACTCCCCCACTGGAGCTCTCTACTCTAACCCCATTCCCTGCTCTCTCCTCTCTCTCCTCCCCCATGGTGTCTGTGCTGGGGCTCACTCCCCCACTGGCACTCTCTAACCCCATTCCCTGCTCTCTCTCTCCCCATGGTGTCTGTGCTGGGGCTCACTCCCCCACTGGCACTCTCTAACCCCATTCCCTGCTCTCTCTCTCTCCCCATGGTGTCTGTGCTGGGGCTCACTCCCCCACTGGCACTCTCTAACCCCATTCCCTGCTCTCTCTCTCTCCCCATGGTGTCTGTGCTGGGGCTCGCTCCCCCACTGGAGCTCTCTACTCTAACCCCATTCCCTGCTCTCTCTCTCTCTCTCTCTCCCCATGGTGTCAGTGCTGGGGCTCACTCCCCCACTGGCACTCTCTAACCCCATTCCCTGCTCTCTCTCTCCCCATGGTATCTGTGCTGGGGCTCACTCCCCCACTGGCACTCTCTAACCCCATTCCCTGCTCTCTCTCTCTCCCCATGGTGTCTGTGCTGGGGCTCGCTCCCCCACTGGCACTCTCTAACCCCATCCCCTGCTCTCTCTCTCTCTCCCTCGCATCGTGAATGTGCCGCCGCCCAGTGGCTATGTAGTGTATTACATCGTTCGGTGTGAATTTCTCTCCATTCAAGTGGGTGATCATTAACACTGACTGTAATTATGAAATATAATAATAATCCTTGCATTTGATATAGCGCTTTTCACGTCGGGAGGACGTCCCAAAGCGCTTCACAGAACACACTGTAAAGTGAATTGACTGTATATTTGTGGGCGAACGCGGCAGCCAATGGCGCACAGCAATGTCCCACAAAGTGTCGTAGATTGAAAATGACCAATTTATTATTGTTTTTGGTTTTGGAGGATTATTATTAGGCTCTGTGTGGAGTAAGGAAACTTGCCCGAGGTTTGGCCCTCTGCCTGGAATTGAACTCAGGTCTCTCACTTGCAAAGCGAGTGCTCTAACCACTGAGCTACAGGACTCCACCAATGTTGCCCTGGCCTCTCCCATGTAATGTTATAGGCCACGAGCCCCTCACCCTCTAACACCCTCCTCTACTCTTTGCCCTCAGTGTCGGGACGAGACACTGTCCTGTGTCCTGGAGACCCTCAGCAAGCTGAGCGGCCTGACCTCTGCCCTCGAGGAGGCCATCCTCCACAGGCTGCTCCGAGCTGTGACTCAGGTAGGAGAAGCTAACCTGGTGGGTGGTGGGGGGGGAATGTGGCCTTTCACCTCTGGAGTCTGAGTTAGGATCTTCCAACAACAACTTGCATTTATATAACAGCCTCCACCCAGGATAGTGCCTCAGAGCGCTGGGACCAGAGCCTGGAGAGAGGGTCTGACAGGCACCAGGTCACCCTGACACCATTGATCCCAGTGTCCAGGAAATGGGATCTGTCTCTCAGTCTCTGTCAGTGCGGAGAAAGGGAGCTGGCAGGGTTCAGTGTGTGTGTGTCTCTATCTCTCTCCGGGTGGAGACAAGAACCTAGTGTGGCTCAGTGTGTGTCTCTCTCACAGTCTGTGTGTGTGTGTGTGTCTCAGTCACTGTCTCTCTCTCTCAGTGTGGAGATGATGACCTGGCTGGGCTGTGTGATGTGAAGGAGAGACTGAAGGTCATTGTGAGGGAGCATCGCTCTCACTATCTCTTCCCGCGGGGACTGGTGAAGACAGCCACACTGACCACCATCACCTCCTGTGTCAACAACACCTAGTTCTGCGTGGCGGTGGGTGAGGGAGTGAAACAGCCTGGGGTTCTGAGACCCTCGCACATACCCCGGGGAGAGGGGGTGAGAGGGATCAAGGAAGGGTAGAGAGGGAGTGAACCAGCCTGGTAGGCTGAGACCCTCACACCCACACTGAACTCCGCACCCCCATGACCCAAATCCTTGCCCCCATGACCCGAATCCTTGCCCCCATGACCCGAATCCTTGCCAGGCTCCACGGGCTCCGTATCACAGAACGGATCAATTTCAAGATCCTCACACTCATGTTCAAATCCGTTCCTGGCCTCGCTCCTCCCCACCAACCAGACTCTCACTTCATTACCCACTGGCATCGCTCAGCTGGTGGGATCAAACGCCATCCCCCCAGGCCAGGCCGACGCTCCAGCACAGGGGGTAAAGAAAGAGAGCGCCGCCTTGTCAGAGACACCGTGCGTTAGATGAGACGAATGAGCCCAGTCTGTGCCCTGCTCAGGCGGATGTTAAAGATCTGTTGGAAAAAAGCAATGTCTCTCTCTCTCCCGGTTGGATGATCGTGTCTTGCCTGACAATCATATAATTGTTTGTTCAGTTGTGGGGGGGGGGGGGAGGGGGAGTGAAGTGAGGGAAGGACCGGGCTGCGAAACTGCCGTGTTTGTCTACATCTCCACAGTCACTACACCGGCCAACAATTTTGAGAGTTGTGAGATGTTTCACTTGTCAAAGGCAATGAACAGGATTCATCCCTGTGTTGATCTCACCCCCACTGGAGCTCTCTACTCTAACCCCATTCCCTGCTCTCTCTCCCCATGGTGTCTGTGCTGGGGCTCGCTCCCCCACTGCAGCTCTCTACTCTAACCCCATTAAAAGTACAGTGGCTGTTGTGTTAATTTATTTCATTTAATGATGTCTGCTGTGTTGTTACAGTGATTTGTCTCCAGTAATGTATTCAATCAGTTATTATCAGGACAGGCTGCGGTTTGTGAGAGATGATAGATTATTGGTTATTGATTATTGATACACGTTCATAGACCGAGAAAGAGAAACTGCCAAGTGTGTTGTTGTCCATTCTCGGGCTGGTCTGTCGATGGCAGCCCTCCCACCAGGGGAAGGAAAGGTGAACAGCCAGCCCCCTCCTCCCTTAGCAGTGTCTGATGGACCGAGGGTGGGGGTGCTGGAAGAGGCCATTCAATCAACTAACACCAGACAAATACACCAATGGTGGCATTGGGTGTGATCTCTCTGGTCTCCTCATTGTGCCGTGATTGTTAATGATATCCTGTTATTAATAATAATAATAATAATGTGTTATTACACGTCTCTCAGCCCAGGGCAGGACTCGCTGTAAACCAGAAACCCATCAATAAAGCAATGTGACCCTGACACTGAGTGTGAAAGTGTGGGATGTCCAGGCACGAGGGCTGAACAGCCACACAGCCCTGGCTCACCTCAGCGGGAGGGTTTGGGTCAAGGTAATGGGGGGGAGGAGGGGGATTACGGGGTTGGTGTGGGTGTTGGAGGTAATGATCTCAGTCATACGGCTGCAGATGGGAGGTGGGGTGTTGGGGAGGGAGTCAGGAGGGTGGGGAGAGGGGGAGTTAATGGTGTAGGTGGTGGCGAGAAGCGGAGTTGGGGATGGTGGGGGATGTTGGAGGTGATGACTTCAGTCCGCTGATGGGGGCTTGTAGGGGGGAGTGGGTTGGAGGGGAGGGGGTTAGGGAGTGGGGGAGGGGGGGGGAGGATTAGGGGAGTGAGGGGGTATTGAACGTGATGACCTCAGTCACACGGCTGCTGATGGTGACGGGACAGTCACTGATGCTCAGCGCTCCCTGCAGGCGAGAGAGCTGACTGTCACTGAGCTCCGGCGTCTCGTAGTGAACCCTCAGCCAGGCCTCCCCTGCACAGCAACAACAACAACAATTAATAATAATAGCAACTACAGTCACCAATAATGACAATAATAATAAGAGTTATTAATAATCAATAAAATAACGACTGACTTTAACAGTAATAACAATAATCATCAATAATAATAGTAACAACAGTCAGCGACAAGAACAACAAATACTAAAAATAACAAATAATAGATGTTTGGGTATCGAGGGATATGGGGAAAAGGCTGGTATTTGGAGCTGAGGGGGGATTGTCGTTTGGTGGGGCTGGGGGTGGGGTTAGGGTGTGGGGGTGGGGAGAGTGAGGTTGTGTGTGTGGTGGGAGTGAGGTTGTGTGTGTGGGGGGGGGGGGGGGGGAGTGTGTGGGTGTGTATGTAGGGGGAGGGAGTGTGTGTGGTGGGAGTGAGGTTGTGTGTGTGGTGGGAGTGAGGTTGTGTGTGTGGTGGGGCGGGGGGGAGTGGGAGGGAGTGTGTGGGTGAGGTGGAGGTTGCCTGTACCTGCCCTGACGTCCTGACCCACACGGCACAGCAGCTCGATGCCCACACTGTGGTTGATGGCTTCTCCTGGCACTGTACGCCCTGCTCCCAGCTCATGGACCACCTCAGCCAACGGCAGCGCCCGGATACCCTGCACTGTGCCTGGGCACATGGCAAACAGGGTCAGCTCCCGGCAGGTCTGGGCAACACTCACCCAGGATACTGTCTGTCAGATCAGTCTGTCTGTCCCCAACACACACTTCAGCCCTGTCCTCCCATCACCCCCTCCTCACCATCACCATCACTCCCTCCTCACCATCACCATCACTCCCTCCTCACCATCACCATCACTCCCTCCTCACCATCACCTCCTCCTCACCATCACCATCACCCCCTCCTCACCATCACCATCACTCCCTCCTCACCATCACCCCCTCCTCACCATCACCATCACCCCATCATCACCATCACCATCACCCCCTCCTCACCATCACCATCACCCCATCCTCACCAGACTCCTCACACCCATTCTCTCCCTCTCGTCAACCTCTCGCTCTATCACAGTCTGTAACTCTCATGTGCTCTCTACCACTCTCTCTCTCTTTCTCTCTCTCTCTCTATCACTCACTCTTTATCACTCTCTCTGCCACTCTCTCTCTCTGTCTCAGTCTGACTCTCTGTCTCTCGCACACTGATTACCTGTGGTTGGCACCCGCAGTAGCTGTTGATGTCTGGCCTGGGGTAGGACGTGTTGATCGCCCTGGCACAGGCGCTTGGCATTTTCGGCTCCGACACCCTGTGCCACCAGCATAGCCTGGAACTGTGCCAGGGCCGTGCCGTCCCGCAACACCTCCGCAATTTTCCCCGCTCCTTCCTGCGAACTCCGGGCTTTACCGCACATAGACAGCAGGTATCCCCCTGGGAAGGTTACTTCATCCTGTTAGGGTGTCAGCTCTCGACTGTAACCCCTGCTCTCTCCCCATGGTGTCTGTGCTCTCTCTCTCTCTCCCCATGGTGTCTGTGCTCCCTCTCTCTCTCCCCATGGTGTCAGTGCTCTCTCTCTCTCTCTCCCCATGGTGTCTGTGCTCTCTCTCTCTCTCTCCCCATGGTGTCTGTGCTCTCTCTCTCTCTCTCCCCCCATGGTGTCTGTGCTCTCTCTCTCTCTCCCCGTGGTGTCTGTGCTCTCTCTCTCTCTCCCCATGGTGTCAGTGCTCTCTCTCTCTCTCCCCATGGTGTCAGTGCTCTCTCTCTCTCTCTCCCCATGGTGTCTGTGCTCTCTCTCTCTCTCCCCATGGTGTCTGTGCTCTCTCTCTCTCCCCATGGTGTCTGTGCTCTCTCTCTCTCTCTCCCCATGGTGTCTGTGCTCTCTCTCTCCCCCCCCATGGTGTCTATGCTGGTGCTCCCTCCCTCCCTCTCTCTCTCTCACTCTCTCTCCCCCCCCCACTGACCGAGGTAAGTGACCAGCTCCTCCAGGTCGGGGTCCCCTCGGCCTCTCAGACATTCCACGGCCTCGATGACCTCCAGCGAGTTGCCCACGTTCCTCCCAATGGGGCTGTCCATTGCCGTCAGCACCGCCACCGTCCGCACCCCCAGCCTCTCCCCCAGCTTTACCTGGTCCAGTGGGAGAGTGGGGGGGGGGGGGAGAGCAGATGAAAGGGGGGAGAGAGGGTGGGGAGGGGCAGAGAGGGTGGGCGAGGGGAGAGAAAAGGTGGGAGACAAGGTGGGGGGGAGAGAGCGTGGGGCAGACAGTGAATCAGTGAGCGGGTGAGCGAGCATGAGAGTGAGGGAAGAGTGAGAGAGAGAGAAAGCAGGAGAGCGAGGTAGTGAGAGATTGAGGGAGGGAGGGATAAAGTCAGTGAGTCAATGAGTGAAGAGCGAGTGAGAAAGTGAGAGAGCAGAAGAATGAGGGAGCGAGTGAATGAGTGAGAGCGCGAGAGAGCGAGCCGAGGAGGAGTGATTGAGTTACAATCCCTCCCAACACAGTGACATGGTCACCTCAGACCTTCAGCACATCTCATAAACACAGCCCCCCCCCCCCCACACACACACACAGCCCCCCACCCCAGCCCCACCACACACACAGACCCCCCCCCCATACACACACAGCCCCCCACCCCATACACACAGCCCCCCACCCCATACACAGCCCCTCCTGCACCCACAGCGCCCCCCACACACACACACAACCCCACCACCCCAGCGCACACACACACACACAGCCCCCCACCCCATACACCACAGCCCCCCCCCCCACACACACACAACCCCACCACCCCAGCGCACACACACACAGACCCCCAGCCCAGTGCTGACCAGTGTATGAGCGAATAGCCGAGCTTTCTTAAGGTCCGTGTAGATGGCGGCGGCTCCGTGTTTGACGTCCAACACCAATGCCGACAATGACTCTGCTCCCTTCTTAGCCAGGATCGAGGCTGTAATCACCGTCACACTGACCGTCACACCCACCCCCGCACACACCCGCTCGCCCACCCCGAGCACACACCCGCTCGCCCACCCCCACGCTTACCCGAGCGCACACCCGCTCACCCACCCGCACGCTTACCCGCGCACACACCCGCACACCCGCACACCCACCCGCACACACACACGCTCACCCACCCGCACACACCCACTCGCCCACCAGCTCGGGGAGGGACTGCTGACCTGCGATGAGGGCGTTGCTGTCCACAGTCCCAGTCACGTCGCGGATGGCATACAGGATCCGGTCGACGGGAACCAGCGAAGCCGACTGTCCTACAATACAACAGCCAACCTCAGCCAGTACCTGGACATCAGGGGAAAAGAGAGCGTCACACACGGTGATACAGCCACAACAGTCACAAACTGCCGAGTCAAACACCTGTCTCTAACCCTGCTCTCTAGACCCAATGACCGCGCTTTTGGTTATCCTCCCACCCCCCACCCACTCCCCTAACCCTCCATCCTCTGGCTCCCAACCCCCAACTCGGGTGCAAACCCCTCAGTGGCCAGAGCTTTGGGACGTCCTTGCAACGTGAAGGCCACTGTGTAAATGTCGTGCATTGATGTTGTTGGGGGTGAGTGTAACGATGGGAGTGGGGCCACTTCAAAAGATTGGGAAGTGATTTTCTGGACTAGACATCTGGTTTTGCAGCTATTTGGGGACGCAACGCCACTTGAAGAGTGCTATATAAATGCAAATTGTTGTTGTGTTTCAGCCCAACTCCCTGCCACGTCTGGTATCAGCTGGTCAGGCCCTTTGTAAGAAAATCACAAGATACGGACATCTTAAAACAGAGAGTAGGGATAAACAGGTCCTTCTCAGATTGGCAGGATGTGACTAGTGGAGTGCCACATGATCAGTGCTTGGGCCTCAATTATATACTGTCTATATCAATGATTTCAGATGAGGAAATAGAACTTAAATATCTAAATTTGCAGAAGGGAAGATGCCATGAGACCGTTTCCCCTGGTTGGAGAATCTAAAACTAAGGGGTCATAGTCTCAGGATTAAGGGTCCACACTCCCAGGTCAGGGTTAGAGACACAGTAAAGCTCCTCTACACTGTGCGTCTGTCCACACTCCCAGGTCAGGGTTAGGGACACAGTGAAGCTCCTCTACACTGTGCGTCCACACTCCCAGGTCAGGGTTAGAGACACAGTAAAGCTCCTCTACACTGTGTGTCCACACTCCCAGGTCAGGGTTAGAGACACAGTAAAGCTCCTCTACACTGTGTGTCCACACTCCCAGGTCAGGGTTAGAGACACAGTAACGCTCCTCTACACTGTGTGTCCACACTCCCAGGTCAGGGTTACAGACACAGTAAAGCTCCTCTACACTGTGTGTCCACACTCCCAGGTCAGGGTTACAGACACAGTAACGCTCCCTCTACACTGTGTGTCCACACTCCCAGGTCAGGGTTACAGACACAGTAAAGCTCCTCTACACTGTGTGTCCACACTCCCAGGTCAGGGTTACAGACACAGTAACGCTCCCTCTACGCTGTCTCAGACAGGAAGGTAACATCACTATTGAAATCAGGCTGGTGGCAGTGCCATGTTGTTCACTGGCGCCAGTTTGAAGTGACCAGTGATATTGCACTAACCTGTCATAATAATCTTACATTTGATACAGCGCCTTATCATGTTGGGAGGACGTCTCAAAGCGCTTCACAGGATTCACTGTAAAGTGTAGTGACTGTGTGGGTGAACAGGGAAGCCAATTTGCAAACAACAACATTCCACAAACAGACATGAAGTGAATGACTAATTGTATCTGGGGGATTGTTGGACCAGACACCGGGAGAGAGAGAGAGAAACTCTCTTATGTTTTCAACAGCGCTGCGGGATCTTTAACATCCACCTGAACAGACACAGATGTGAGCTCAGCTTAATGTCTCATCCAAAGCACGGCGTCTCTGAACACGCGGTGCTCCCCCCAGCACTGCCCTAGAGCCTCAGCCTGGACTGTGAGCTCAAAGACCCTGTTGTTGGGTTTGAACTCAACACCTCCTGACTTGGAGGTGAGAGGCTGACAGACAGGAACATTAATTGGACCAATCACACTCCAGGTGTGGGCTGCCCAGGGCTGGATAGAGACACTGTCTGGGAACTCGCTGGTCTCGCCTTCCTCTTTTCCAACGTTCCTGACCTCTTCTGGGTTGAGATTGATGGTAAATCCCGGGATAGACTCCAGTTTGTCCAGGGTTCCTCCGGTGTGACCAAGCCCCCTGCCACTGATCATCGGGACCTGCAGAGAGAGAGAGAGAGCGCAGAGAGCTGGAGCTTAGAGAGAGAACAGTGATTGGTTTCCGTGTGTGTCAGACACCCGGCTGATCACTACCAACCCCTCACACCTCATCTCATTAAATCCCTTACACCCTATCCCAATGATGTTATCTCTGTGCTCCTCTGGGTCTGTACGTTCTGCACTCCCACAGCCCCCTCACTCCCCCTCAAGCCCGCGGTGGTGGGGGGGGGGTTGGGCAGTGTCAGGCCTTGGGTCCTCACCTTGCAGCCACAGGCAGCCAGTGCGGGGGCCAGGGGGAGGCTGACCTTGTCTCCCACACCCCCTGTTGAGTGCTTGTCCACCATTGTCCCCTGCCACTCCTCCGGCCACTGCAATACTTTCCCTGAGGACATCATCTCCCTGGTCAGGCTCAGTGTCTCATCCTCATTCATCCCCATCAGCCGTATCGCCATTAGTACGGCTCCTGCACCCAACACAACATAACAAAGGCAGTGTTAGAGCACCGCCTACACATCTTAGATCACTGCCCATGTTGTGTACAGCGGGAACCTTACCATAATAATAATCCTTGTATTTGATATGGTGCCTTTTCACGTCATTAATACATCTCAAAGCACTTCACAGAATATACTGCAAAATTAGTGACCGTATATTTGTGGGCGAAACGAGGCAGCCAATTACGCAAAAAAGTGATCCACCAATTGACTAACAACCGGGTTCCTACCGACTGCTGGTAAACAGAGGTGTGTGGAGTAAAAAAAACTTGTCCAAGTTTTTGTCCAGCCTAGGAATGGATTCCAGGTCCTCTCGCTTGCGAGGCGAGCACTTTAACCATTGCACTACAGGACTCCTACAGGAACCTTACCATCGGGAATCTTTCAGTCAGGAACCTTATAGTTAGGAGCTTTACCTATTTGGCTGTCACTGATGGTTTTCTCCTTCACGCCCTGGACAAAGTAATGGATTTCCTCGGCCGTCAGCACCTCCTGGTCCCGTTTTTTCCGGATCACCTCTGGGAAGCTGAGCTGCAGATCAGCCTTCTTCAGCATGTCTATCTGTCCATCCGGAAAAGAGGTCAGAGAGGGAATAGTGATGGGGAGGGACTGTGTCCAAACTGGGGACTTGATGGGGAGAGAGCAGGGAATGGGGTTAGAGTAGAGAGCTCCAGTGGGGGAACGTGCCCCAGCACAGACACCATGGGGGGGGAGAGAGAGAGAGGGCAGAGAATGGGGTTAGAGTAGAGAGCTCCAGTGGGGGAGCGAGCCCCAGCACAGACACGATGGGGAGTATATATCCAGTGATCGCTGCCTGTACACACATCAGGGTTAAGGCTCTATTATTCTCCGATCTCTGCACACACTCACCTCAATACCTGTCTCAGTGTCTTCGACGACAGTCAGTGGGTTAGGCTGAGAGCTGGTGACCGTGTTGACAATGAGCACAGTCACTGGTATATGAGGGGACAGTGGACAATCCTTGTTGGAAGCCAGACTTGAAGAACCGGCTCAATTGCACAATTGTTTTGATAGGGAGTAATTACAGACTGAGTTTCAATTCCTCTCATTCGCTTTGTGCTAAACGCTGAGGGCAGTAGAGATCTGTAATAGGAGGGGAGGAGTCAAACTCCTGCCCGCAGGAACAGGGCAGTGACCTGCTGATTTCCAGAAGAAAAATTGTTTTCAGGGAATTATGACGCATCCCTCCAGGGAGAAGGAGAATGTGCATTCCCTTCCAACAATCTGCTTTCCCCCCCACTCGACCGCCCACTGCCTCCACTCGGCTGGCTCCGGCCTCCTGTTTGTCCCTCGTCTCCTGCACTCCACCATCGGTGGTTGTGCCTTCAGCCACTACGCCCCGAAACTCTGGAACTCTCTCCCTCAATCCCTCCGCCTTGCCCCCCTCCCTCTCCACCTCAAATCCCTCTTAAGACCTTCCTTTTTGATCGTGCTTACGATCGCTTCTCTCCCTGGCTCGGGATCAGACTCCACCACCGTCAAGCGCTCCGGGACACTACCCCATGTGAGGGCACAATATAAATGCAAGTTGTTGGTGTTGTTGCATCTTTGGGATTTCCATGTGGAGGTGGGCGGCATGAAAATCTCAGTTGGGTTTAGAAACTCTTAAGCCCAGTGATGGGTTTCTGTGTGTGTTAGACACCGACTGATCAGAAAGCCCCAGAACTGTTGTGTTGGCAATAATGGAGTCAGGATTACACCACACAATTCATGCTGTTTGCCCTCAGCCACAGCAACGTGACTGTTATGACAAAATCAAAGACCAGAAGTTCATAAGCAGCAGGTGAACATCTATGGTTTGGGTGGTTGGAGGGTACGACTGGACCTCCAGCCAAAGAGTTAACCCTGTTAATCCTAGAGGACTATCCAGCAATGCCGTTAACCCTGTGTTGACCTGCGAATTATACATTAGAGTATTTTGCACAGAAACAGGCCATTCGGCCCAACTGGTCTATGCCGGTGTTTATACTCCACGTGAACCTCCTCCTGCCCTTCCTCAACTAAGCCATCAAGCAGAACCTTCTATGCCTTTCTCCCTCATGTACGTCTCTAGCTTCCCCTTAAATACATCTGTGCTATTTGCCTCAGCAACTCCATGTGGCAGCGTGTTCCACATTCCCACTACTCTCTGTGTGAAGAAATTTCTTCTAACTTCCCTATTTGTGACTATTTTATATTGATGGACTCTGGTTTTGGTTTCCCCCACATGTGGAAACATCTTCCCTACGTCGACCCTATCCAAACCTTTCAGAATTTTAAAGACCTCTATCAGGTCACCCCTTACCCTCCTCTTTTCAAGAGAAGAGTCCAAGTATGTTCAGGTTTTCCTGATAGGGTGTAACTCTCATTCTGGGATCAGCCTTGTGAATCTCCTTTGCACCCTCTCCAGTGCCTCTACATCCCTTCTATAGTGTGGGGTCCAGAACTGCACAGTATCTAAGTGTGGTCTAACTAAGGTTCTATAGCAGTTTATCATAACTTCCCTGTTTTTAATTTCTATCCCTCTAAAAGGAGCCCCAATGCCTGGTTTGTCTTTTGATGGCCTTATTAACCTGCGTTGCTACTTTTAGTGAATTGTGCATGAGTACCCTAGATCCCTTTGCTCCTCTACACCATTTAGGTTTTTATTTTTCAGGATGTACGTGACTTCCTTATTCCTTCTATCAAAATGTACCACTTCACCCTTTTTTTACATCGAAATGCATTTGCCATTTAAATGCCCACTCAGGAAGTTTAATGTCTCACTGTAATTTGTTGCCGTCCTCCTCTATATTAACTACTCCCCCAATTTGGTGTCAAAGGACCAGAGTTGAATCTCCAGCAGTGATGTTTGAATTGTTTCAAGTTTGTATAGTTGAGCCTGGATGTAATGAAGGCGTGTACGAGGGTCTCGGGGGCTGCAGAGTGAGACAGGCTCGGAGCCGGGTGATGTTGCGGAGGTGGGGGAAGCCAGAGCGGGTCATGGCACAGATGTGGGGTAGAAAGAATAGTTGAGGGTCAAACAAGACCCCAAGATTCTGGACTGGCTCAGTGAGGGAGAGTGAGCCCCATGGATGCTGATGCTGTCAGCGCCAATTAACAAGTGGAATTGAATGTGGGGAGAGAAAATGAAGGAAGACAATGAAGAGAGAAAATGGAATGAGGAGGAAGGGAAGGGGTTAGCCTTTGCCCCCTGTCTCTGGGGGTGGGAGGAGGAGAGAGTGTAAGGTTTCCATGTTCCAGGTTTCCTGTTAGAGCTCTCTGCGGAGGGAGGGGGGGAGAAGGTATTAGTTCCTGCCCGTTTCTAGTGGGGGGGAGATGGGGTGTGGGGTTTTATCCTCTGTCCTCTGTCTCTGGGGGTGGGTGGGGGGTCTGCCTGGAGGGGGTGTTAGTCCCTGTCCCCTGTCTCTGGGGGGCTGTCTGGAGGGGGGGGGGGGTTGCTAGCCCCTGTCCTCTGTCTCTGGTGGTGGGGGATGGGTGCTGTCTGGCTGGGGAATGGAGCTGATGGATGTAAGCCTCTCCTGTCAGAGCTCTGGGGTGGGGGGTGGAGATGGTTTAAGGCTCCCCTGATCCCTGGCTGGGGGGATGGAGATGGAGATGGGGATGGAGGTGGAGGTGGGGATGGAGGTGGAGGTGGGGATGAAGATGGGGATGGGGATGGAGATGGAGGTAGAGGTGGGGATGGAGATGGAGGTGGAGGTGGGATGGAGGTGGAGATGGGGATGGAGTGGGGATGGAGATGGAGGTGGAGGTGGGGATGGAGATGGAGGTGGGGATGGAGGTGGAGGTGGGGATGGAGATGGAGGTGGAGGTGGGGATGGAGGTGGAGGTGGGGATGGAGACGGAAGTGGGGGTGGAGGAGGTGGAGGGGATGGAGGAGGGGGTGGAGGGGATGGGGGTGGGGGCTGCTGTACAGTGGGTGGGGGCTGTATTGTTTGCTAATCCAGGGCTCAGATTGCTGGGCTTTGAGTGGCTGTCGCTAGGAGACCCCCGGGGGAACAATGAGGACATCCTGGAGCCGCGCCCCGAGCGAAACCCCGCGTTATCTCCTCCCCTGCGTTCGCTGTGCTAATCCACAACTCACCTCAACAGCCCCAGTGCCTGTGAGCTCCAGCGGTGCCTCCTCACACGTAGGTTTACCTCTCTCTCCCCCTCCACCATCACCCAACCCATGGGGGGTCCTGTCACTGCACAGTGTCCTGTCACTGCTCACCCCCCGTGTGCACAGGGTCAGCCCCTGGTCAGTCCCTGGTCAGCCCCTGGTCAGCCCCTGGTCAGTCCCTGGTCAGTCCCTGGTCAGCCCTGGTCAGCCCCTGGTCAGCCCCTGGTCAGCCCCTGGTCAGTCCCTGGTCAGCCCCTGGTCAGTCCCTGGTCAGCCCCTGGTCAGCCCTGGTTAGTCCCTGGTCAGCCCCTGGTCAGTCCCTGGTCAGCCCTGGTCAGCCCCTGGTTAGTCCCTGGTCAGCCCCTGGTCAGCCCCTGGTCAGTCCCTGGTCAGCCTCTGGTTAGTCCCTGGTCAGCCCCTGGTCAGCCCCTGGTTAGTCCCTGGTCAGCCCCTGGTCAGCCCCTGGTCAGCCCTGGTCAGCCCCTGGTCAGCCCTGGTCAGCCTCTGGTTAGTCCCTGGTCAGCCCCTGGTCAGCCCTGGTCAGCCCTGAGCCGCTCTCCGGGAGTCAAGGTCTCTGCAGCCATTTACACCATCCAATCCCAACAGCGACCCTTCCATTCATAGCTCCCACATGTTTCTTCCCCCACCTAACCCCCCCCCCCACACCCAAACCCCCCCCCTCACCCACACACACACCCAAACCCCCCCCCATACACACACACACATATACACCCAAATACCCCCACCCCCCCCACCCCACCCCACACACACACACCACTGGGAGCTCACAAGATCTGACAGTAATTGATACAAAACCAACAATTGCATTGAACAGGACATGACTGTGGTGAGGAGTGGGACAGTGATAGTCCCGGAGACCTGGAGCTAAGTGATCAGAGCACTCGCCTCGCAAGCGCCTCATCCCGTCTTCCAGACGTCTCAAAGCGCTTCACAGAATATTGTGTCAAGTGATTTGACTGCATATTTTGCGGCAACACAGCAGCCAATTGCGCACAGCAGCATCCCACAAACAGGCGGGGGTTGAGTGACCAAATTATTATTTTTTTTGAAGGGATTATTATGCCCAGAAAAGTGATCCACCAATCGACTAACAACCAGGTTCCTACTGACTGCTGGTAAACAGGGGCGTGTGTGTGGAGTAAGGAAACTTGCCCAATTTTTTGCCCTGTCCAGGACTTGAACTCAGGTCGTCTCGCGAGGCGAGTGCTCTCACCTCTGAGCTACAGGTGTCCACAAGTATTATTATCAATTCCTGCAGATAAACAAACCTCTTCACAATGACTCACGATCCCTGGGTTGGGACATGGAGACCCCATCGACCCAGGATGCCCATCGCAGCCATGTACAACAGCCCCGGCCCCAAGTACATGCTGCAGGGGAACACAGGTCAGTGTGTGTGTGTGTGTGTGTGCAAAGGTCAGTGGGGGGGGGGGGGTGTTGCCGCTGGTGTCAGCTTGACGTGGGTTATGGTGAGAGTTTCAGGTCTGTTTGACTCAGTGGCTATCACTCTTTGTGTGTTCAAGCCCCACATCGGGGTCTTTGACCTCACAGTCAAGGCTAAGGCTCCAGTGAGGGGTGGTGGGGGGGAAGGGGTCAGCGCTGCATTTAGAGGCTGAAAGGCTCTGTGTCAATCAGAGTGATGTGTGGCTCTGTTGTGAACAGTACACGTGTAGCTCACTGGCGCTGGTGCCTGGTGTCTATTGGTACTGCATCAACCAGCAGTGATAGTCTTCTATTCCATCTCATGCCCTATCACATCGTCTGACGTATCAGAGCTGTTCATGATTTACTATAAAGTGTAGTAACTGTGCGTTTTTGTCGGCGAATGCGGCAGCCAGCGTGTACCATTGACCCACAAGCTTCAGAGTGTGACTGACTGACTGGTGGGCGGGTGGGCAGGTGAACGGGGGGCCAGTTGGGTGGGGGTCAGGTTAGGAGGGGTGGATGGTTGGGGAGGCCGGGTGGGCGGGGGAGGGGGGCATGGTTCGGTGGGGCCGGGCTGGGAGGGATGGACAGTTGGGTGGGGACTGGGCGGGTGGATGGACAGTGGGAGGGGTGAACGGTTGGGTGGGGCTGGGTAGGTGGATGGGCAGGGGGAGGGATGGATGGTTGGGTGGGGGCCGGGCGGGCAGGTGGACAGGGGGAGGGGTGGATGGTTGGGTGGGGGCCGGGTGGATGGACAGGGGGAGGGGTGGACAGTTGGGTGGGGGCCAGGCGGGCGGGTGGGTGGGCAGGGGCCGACTCCCGTTGACGTATGTCTTTCTGTGCCCAGGTTATGAACGTCATGACCTGACCAAGTACAGGGCTCCAGCCTATTCCCTGGCCAAACGCCTGCCGGGGCTGAAGGACCCAGGGACACCGGGCCCCAAGAAGCTGCCCGAGAAGATCACGCGGTTCGGGGTGGAGAAGGGCCCCCTGTGGTCCATGGGCCAACGTCTGAAGGACTTTGACCCCGGAAAAAGCCCTGGTCCAGGTGAGTGAGGCCTCCCCTCCCTGTGAGGAGCGAAAGAGTGCAGGAGACTCGTCATAGCCACACAAACCTCAGAAGCTGAGAACGTGGGAGAAGCTCATGCAGATATTTTACTGTGTTGGCGTTTGCTCCTCCGAGACACCGTCCATCCCAATCCCCATCCCAGCTCTTCCCGTGTCCTCTCTAATCCCGGCCTCTGTGTTTACTCGTTTAACTGCCGCTTGGATGATGATTTTACATACAAATCTCATGTGTCTGACTGTCTCCAAGCCTTGTTCCCTCTGCTGCTCGCTCGGTTGCCTGGCACGTTGATGTGTTGGTGTGTTGGCGTGTGGGGTGCCACGCCTGTTTTGATGAAAGGTGGGCTGTCTTGTGTTTTAACATGTAAGCATGTTGATGTGTAACTTGCCCCACTTGATGTCGTGTTGGCAAATAGCTATGTTTGCACGTGTTGGGGTACATTGGCATGTGATTGTGGTGTGATACTATGTGTTGGCATGTGATGCCGTGTGTTGGTGTGTGATGGTGTGTGATAAGAGTCTGATGCCGTGTGATACCGTATGATGGTGTGTGATAGAGTCTGATGCCGTGTGATACCGTATGTTGGTGTGTGATAGAGTCTGATGCCGTGTCATACCATGTGTTGGTGTGTGATAGAGTCTGATGCCGTGTGATACCGTGTGTTGGCGTGTGGACTGCCCTGTGACAACACTTGCCGATGCCGTGTGTTTCTCTGGACAGGAAAGTACAAACCGGAGAACGGGGACCGGCTGGCATTCCCCAGCGTTCCCGCATACTCACTGGCCAAACGCACACTCGGCTTGAAGCTTGGCGAAGGACCAGGTAGAGTGACCGGGTGGGGGGGATGATGGGGGAGGGAGTGATCCTCAGGGGTGGTAGGGGGGTGATGGTGGGGGAGTGATCACTGGGGGGAGTGGGGAGTGATTGCAGGGGGTGAAGGGGGTAGTGATTGGGGTGGGGGGTGGGAGGAGTGGTTGGGGGGGTGATGGGTGAGTGATGGGGAGGTGTGGGGGGTTGGTGGTGTTGATGAGGGTAGTGATTGGGGGACTGATTGGGGGGGGGGGATGGGTACTGGCAAGACTGACCACTCTCTCTCTCTGGCCCAGGTCCTGCCCGCTATCAGGAGGTGAAGGTGTTTGGGCCGAAGATCCCACACCTGCGAGCGGCCCCTGCCTACTCCATGGGCAAGCGCCTCAAACTGGGCAGCGCCATGGACTCCCTGGGCAAGGTAAGCCCCCCCCCACCACCACCTCCCCCACACTGACACATAGCCCCCCCCACCACCACCTCCCACACTGACACATAGCCCTGCCCCCCATCCCCACTAATACCCTCCCAACCCTCTCCCCATGATACTGACAGCCCGCTTACTGATGCTCCCCCCTCATACACATATACACGCATTGATACAGTGCCGACTCACTGACAGTGTGGCTCACGCAGAAGGTTGTGGAGCATGGCTCGTGGTGAGGGTGAGGGGTGTGTGGCCCCAGGTAACACCCCCCCTCCCTCTCTCTCTCTCTCTCTCCCTATGTCAGTCACCGGGTCCGTGTGTGTATGATGCAGTTCATACAGACCTGTTTAAGGTCCGGGCACCCAGGTACACCATGCTGGAGAGAAACCAACTGCCTGGAGACAACACGCTCAAACCTGGGCCCAATGTTTACCGTCATGAGCTGGTAAGTGACCCACCCATCCCTCCCGATCCCAACCCCCAGCTCAGCCCCAAATCACCCTCATACACACGTTCAACACATCCAGGCCCGACTACGCCAACTCCCTCCTTGTCAGCCTCCCCCAACTCTTCCCTCCACAAGCTGCAGATCATCCAGAACTCTGCAGCTCGTGTCCTCTCCTGCACAAGGCTCTGTGACCCCACCACCCCCACGCTCGCTTGACTCCACTGGCTCCCCATCCCTCAGAGTTTCCTCGCCTCCTTCAAGGCCCGTCTGAAAAACAAAACCTTCCTCTTCGACCAGGCATTCGGCCACCCTCCTGCCCTCCTGCTCCCACCCTCCCTGCCCTTCACTCCTCCTGCCGCCACCCTCCCTGCCCTTCACCCCTCCTGCCCCAACCCTCCCTGCCCTCCTACCCCTCCTGATCTCAACCCCCAGCTTGGGTCCAAATCCCTGACTGTCCAGCGCCTTGGGACGTCATCCTGCCGTGTAAATGTCGTGTGTTGTTGTTGTTGTCTCGGATGTGGTGACAATCCCATGGGGGGTGGGGAGGAGGGGGGTGTTCAGTGGGTGAGAAGAGGGTCCCAGCAGACAACTCGGTGTGTGTTGGGTGGATACCGAGGGAGGGATACAGGACTGATGTTGGAAGAGGGTAGACAGGCTGGTGTGCAGTTGGGAGTGTTAACACTGTGTTCCTCTTTACCAGGTTAATCTGCACAAACCCATCCAACCCAAGTACACGTTTGGGGTTCACCATTCCGACTACCTGGCCCCACTCATCGTGACCCCCACAGATTGAAGCAGCGGGCCCCTCTTCTTCCCTCACAGTATCACAGCATTGCACCCACACGTGCAGTGTCCTTTTAAAGACATCTTTCTTATCATTCTGGAGTTTGTTTGGCTCTGTCATGTGTTGGTTGCAGATCCTGGGACCCCCTCCTACCCACGGGACCCTTGTTCTGCGACGTTGAGGTCTGGAAGGGGAACAGTGGTCTCTGAGACGCCCCCCCCCCGTGTGAGGTTTCCTGCCTCTCCCCTCCCTCAGAGATGTCATACACCCTATGTAATTCGCAGTATATCAGTGTAAGTTGCTGTTGTCTCATTTCCCCCCCACCCACCTTATCCTCGGATCCTCCCTACCATGTCCCGATGGTGATATCCCACAAACAGCCATGATGTGAGTAAGTGTCAGCCAGGACACCGGGGGAGAGATACTCCCTTCTTGATAGTGCCGTGGGATTTTTTGAACAGGGCACTGATGGGGAATGAGGTTTAACGTCTTATCTGAAGAATGGTGTCCCCGACAATGTGACACTCTCTCTCTCCCCCCCCAGCGCTGAGCACAGAGTCCACAACGTGGGTACGTGTGTATGTGTGTGTGAGGGGAGTGGGGGGAGTTGGGGGGACTCGAACCCAGAACCTCCTAACCCCAGGGGAGGATGCGAGAGACCGAGCCGGGCAGAAACAATCCGGTTTCTGTTCACAAATCTGCAGAGTAAGATTTTTGCTCCGACCTTAAACTTCCAACACAAAGTGGTCTCTCAGGGCTGAGACTGTGGGGAATTTCAGGTCTCGGGTCTTCTCCAATCAGGTCACACTGGTGTTAAAGGAATAATAATAATCCTTTCAATTGATACAGAGCCTCATCACGTCGTTGAGACGTCTCAAAGCGCCTCACAGGATACTCTGTAATGTGTAATGACTGTGTGTTTTGTGGGCAAAACACGGCAGCTGATTGCGCACAGCAGCGTCCCCACAAACAGGCGTGGATTGAATGTTGGGGTGGAAGGGGCTGTATTCGGGGCAGTGATGTTTCCCCCCCACCCCGTCACCTTTGTAACAGCAAATCTATTAAGAATTGTGGGAAGAAGTGGCTTTCAGAGTTTAGACTAAGATTCCGTCACCGTGAATTTTATGACAAGTTTTTAAAACAAAAAATACAAATCTTGACATCCTCTCGTTGGCGACAACAGCTGTTAACATCAGAGAGAATCATTCTGGGGTGTAATAATAATAATAACAATAATAATTATCCTTGCATTTGATACAGCGCCTTATCACATCGTCTCAAAGCGCTTCACAGGATATAGTAACGTGTAGTGACTGTGTATTTTGTGGGTGAAACGCAGCAGCCAATTGTGCACAGCGGCGTCCCCACAAACAGCCGTGGATTGAGTGACCAAAGTTATTATTTATTTATTTATTTATTTTTGAAGGGATTATCGCCCGTGGGTTTGTTGGCCAGGACACTGGGAGAGAGAGAAACTCCCTTCTCTTTTCCCGACAGCGTGATGGAGATCTTTAAAGTCCGCTTGAACAGGGCACGGATGTGAGCACGGTTTAACGTCTCATCCCAAAGGACGGCGTCTCTGACAATGTAGTGCTCTCTCCCCTCAGCACTGCACTGGAGCGTCAGCCTGGACTGTGAGCTCAAAGCCCCTGACTTGGGGGCTCGAACCCACAATCTCCTTTACCAGAGGTGAGAGCGAGTGGCTGAACTGGGCTGTGACGAAAGTAATAATAATAATAGTCCCTGCACTTGATACAGCGCCTTATCACGTCTCCGCGATGTCTCAAAGAGCTTCACAGGGTATACTGTAAAGTGCAGTGACTATATTTTGTGGGTGAAACGCAATGATCTTAAGGCTGACACCGTGCAAATTGGGAGCCCCTCCCAGCAGCCCTCCTTCCCGGGGAATTTTTATAAGGGAGGGCGGGGGTTCAGAAAGCGTATTTACAGTGTACGTGACGGGGCGGGGGTGGGGGGCGGGGGTTGTCTTGTATTGTGCTAAAGCAACTGTTGTGTGATTTGATGGAAACAGAAGCCGGGGGGAGGAGAGAGCGTGTTTCACATGACCCCCCAGGGTCACCAAAGTGGCCAAAGTGACCGTGTGCAATAAAGTCTGTTTATGTTCTCGCACGCGAGTGGCTGGCATGTGTTCTATTCCTCTCCCCCACCCCCTCCACGCACACACATACACACACACACACACTGGGGAGAGAGTGGGGAGGGTTTGGAGTGTGACTGGTGAGGTTCTGGTGTGTATATCGCACCCCCCCCCCGCCCCATTCCGTCCTGGTGGTGGGGGTGGGGGTGAGCTGTGTGTATTGTGACCCCCTACACACTGTGCCGCCGGTTGTGGATCATGGCCATGATGTGTGTCAGGTCCAGACTCTTCATCATCACTTCACAGAACTCATGGTCTTTCTTCGCCCCCTGAACAAACTCCTCCAGAGACAGCTCACCTGTAAACACCGACACACGGTCAGTCACACCGCCCACAGCGTTCAGCACCACTGTGTGGATCTGTGTGCGCTGTACCTCACAAGGTGTGGGGTGTGTGTGAGGCTGTGTGTGTGTTGGGGAGGTGGGGGAGGTGAGGGTGTGTCTGTATGTGTTGGGGGAGGTGAGAGTGTATGTCTTATGTATTTAGGGGGTGCGTGAAGGCGTTGTGTATGTGTGTGGGGGTTGAGGGTTATGTGGAGGGGGTTGGGGTGTGTGGGGGGAGGGTTGGGGTGTGTGTGGGGGAAGGAGAGGGTTATCGGGTCGGGTTCCACTCACCGTCTCCGTTCACATCGATTTTGTCAAAGACGCGGTTGGTGAATTCCTCGACCGATATTTCCTGGTCACAGCCGTTAATGGCTCTGATCGCCTGAAACACAGCCACACTCGCTAGTCACTCACTAACCCGTCTCTAACCAGTCTGCACCTTTATATTTCATACTGTTTTGGTCAGCCGGGTCTCAAACACACGGAAAACCATCACAGTGTTTAAGAGTCTCCAAACCAAACTGAGATCTCCGTGTACCTACACATGGAAATCCCACAGGGAGAGTGTTGGGATGGAATGCGCTCTCTCTCTCTCTCTCTCTGTCCCTGGAGAGAGACTTCCTGTTTACCTAATTCCGGAGAGTATGAGGCGCAGGTTGGCGAGAGCCAAGGCTGGAGGGGGGCCCAGGGTGTGTGTTGGGGTAACTGCTGGAGTCTAAGCAGCTAAACCCACACAGGTTGGCCATCGATATCACTGTCTGGCAGCTTTCCCACCGCTTGTCCAGCTGGGACCACCCTCCCCGTCAGGGCTTTGGCTGTGGGGTTACCAGGAGCTGATGGGGAGGGGGATTCCCGGCCCCCAGTGACTGGTCGGCCTTTCCAGGTCCTGCTGATGAGCCGGGCCGGGCTGTGCTGCCATCAGCAGTGAGTGCCCTGGAATACTGCGGCCCCTCCTGGCTCAGGAACCGGGGACTAGAGACCACCACGAGGGGGGGCGCGATTCCGATATTCCATTGCCAAACAAGTCATCTGGAAGCCAGCTCAGCTCCATGAAGACCCCGGTTACTATCCCCCCCCTCCCCAGCCTAGGAATGAAGAGGAAGAGAAAGATGGTGGCAGGCTGACCTTGATGATGTTGAGCAGCTCGTAGCGGTCGATGCAGCCGTTCCCGTCCACGTCGTAGAGTTTAAAATACCAACGTAGCTTTTGCTCCATCTTCCCCCGTAACACCAGGCTGAGGGCCGCCACGTACTCCATGAAGTCAATGTAGCCATCCTGTAACACACAGCAGCTCACACCCAGCACAGCACAGTCCAGCCCCCACCCCAGCACAGCCCAGCCCCCACCCCAGCACAGCCCAGCCCAGAGACACACCAACACAGCCCAGCTCCACCCCAGCACAGCCCAGCCCAGAGACACACCAACACAGCCACAGACCAGCGCAGCCCAGCAATACACCAACACAGCCGAGCCCAGCAACCCAACAACACACCAACACAGCTCAGCGCAACAACACACAAACCCAGCGCAGCCCAGAGACACACCAACACACCAGGCTGATGGCAGCCACGTACTCTGCAAAGTCTATATGGCTGAACCTATACTACAGCGCACAGCAGATCATCCCAGCTCAACCAGCACAGCACAGCCCCCAGCCCAGAGACACACCAAAACAGCACACACCAGCTCAGCTCAATAAAGCCCAGCCCAGCAACACACCAGCCCAGCGACACACCAACACAGCCCAGCAACACACCAGCCCAGCCCAACAACACACCAACCCAACCCAGAGACACACCAACACCACACCAGACTGAGGGCAGTCTCATACTCCATAAAGTCATTGTAGCCTCGCTCCCTTTCTTGCCTCCTTCAAGGCATCTCAAGACCTTCCTCTTTGACCGCACCTTCGGTTGCCCTCCACCCCTCTTCTGTGTGTGTGTGTGTGTGTGTGGGTCTGACCTCCTGGCGTGCCACCAGCTCCTCCCCCATAATCATCCCCCTCCCCCGGAACCCTCCCCGATTTCCCCAATTATTAGATTAACATGTCATCTGCTCCCCTATCTGCCCCCCAAACAGGGTCCCCATTCACTCGCTCCCCTATTCCCTCCCACCACCATCTCTTACTGTTTTCTCGCTCCCCTATCCCCCCATCCCCACCCGCACTACTCGCTCACTCCCGCCTCCCCCCGGCTCGCTCATGGGGCACTGGCACAGACACAGTGCCCCACTCCCCTCCACCTCCCCTGATCCGGCCCCCCCACCTTGTTCATGTCAAAGGTCTTGAACATCTGCTCGATGTAAGCGTTGGCCTCAGGGCTCAGACCTCTCAGCCCAAAGAACTGCTTGAACTCGTGGAGGGTGAGCTGACCAGAGGGACACTCCGTCATGAACTTCTTATACCAGAGGTGGATTTCCACAGCCTGCAGGTCATCCACAGTGGAGCCACCGGTGTTCCCCATCGCTGCCTCACACTCTTGGACAGACCCAGATATGTATGTCCTCTCCTCCCAGTGGTGAGGTCAATATAACCCCAAGATAAGCCCCATCAGCTCCGATAATCCTCCCCTGACAGGGTTTAACGTCTCAAGTCAGTTCGAAGCAAAACAACTTGCCTATAGGGGAGGTTGGGCTGATAATAATAATGATAACAATAATGATTCTTGCATTTGATACAGCGCCTTATCACGTCTTCGAGACGTCTTAAAGCACTTCACAAAATATGCTGTAAAGTGTAGTGACTGTGTGTTTTGCGGGAGAAACACGGCAGTGTCCCACAAACAGTCGTAGATTGAGTGACTGCTTATTTTTTTGAAGGGATTATTGCCCCCGGAAAAGCGATCTGTCAATCAACGAACAACTGGGTTCCTATTTAGTGCTAAACAGAGGCGTATGGAATAAGGAAACGAGCTGAAGGTTTCACCCTGGATGTTGCAGTGAGCAAATTGACTGCTGCATTTGCTCATAAAATAACAATTCTCGTATTGGATATTGCACCTTATCAAGTCGTTGAGAGATCTCAAAGTGCCTCATGGGATTTTATGCTAAAGTGTAGTGACTGTATATTTGGTAGGTGAATGACTGAGCCACCAGTGAGGCAGGAAGGAGTCCTGTAGAGTGTATGAGGAAGAGAAGTGTAAGGGAAGTGTGTTATAATAACAATCTGTGCATTTGACATAGTGCCTTTCACGCCGAGAGGACATCTCCCACAAATATCCACAGTTACATCCAACAAACAGCCTTGAAGTGAGTGAGTGCTTGTATCTGGGGGAATGTTGGCCAAGACACTGGGAGAGAAAGAGAAACTCCCTTCTTTTTTCCAATCTTTGCCCTGTTCAGGTGGATGTTAATGTTCTCTCCGGTGGAGATCTTTTAACATCCACCTGAACAGGGCCCAGACGGGAGTTCGGTTTCACATCTCATTCGCCCACAAATATAAGGTCAATTCACTTTACAGTCTATTCTGTGAAGCGCTTTGAGACGTCAAGAAGACGTGAAAAGCGCGATATGAAATGCAAGGATTATTATTATTATCTCCAGAGCGTTCTCAGAGTTTCCTGTGAAGTGCAGTGGCTGTGATATGTAGACAAACGTGGTATCCAGAGTGAATTCTGGAGGGATGAGATCAAATGGATTCAAAGTTCATCTGAGCTTTTCCCGTGACGCTGACGACACCTGACTGCACCCTGTGACCGCAGGTTGCCTGCCGATGGCTGACTGACTGGAGAGGACACGGCCGAATGGCCTCCTTTGCTGGTGATCCGTTCCCACCAGATAGTCCAGTTGACTTTACTGTTGGAAGGAGATAACAGATTAATGGTATTAGATTAACCTCTAAGGGGCTTTATTAATAGACCTGACATTGAGTGGACTATTCTGGGTGGGTAAAGAAGCTAAAGGTAGCTATAAAGGGAGATTCCTCTCGGGCTGGGGATTGCTTCTATCCCGGGCTCTGTTGTCCGCGATGCTTTGTTAATCTCTCACAGGCAGCGCAGGGCAACTCCAGGTCAGGCACCGAGCACACAATCTGCATTCAATAATAATAACTTGCAGTTGCACAGCGTCTTGGGAGCTCTTAAAAGTGGCGGAGGCTGCTGCCGAGCCTGGGGGGGGAAGGGAGGGGGGGGTACCCGCAAGCGCGGTCGAAAAGAACGGTCTTCAGGCGCGATCTAAAATAATAATAATCCCGGCGTTTGATAGGGCGCCATATCACGTCTTCAAGACGTCTCAAAGCGCTTCACAGGACATACTGTAAAATGTAGTGACTGTATATATTGTGGTTTGGGTATGAAGTCCCTGTGCCATTCCCCCCATTTCCCACTCCATCCCACCCCATCCCCCAACATCCTACACCATTACCCCAACATCCTACCCCATTACCCCCCAACATCCTACCCCATTACCCCCAACATCCTACCCCATTACCCCCCAACATCCTACCCCATCCCCCAACATCCTACACCATTACCCCAACATCCTACCCCATTACCCCCCAACATCCCACCCCATCCCCCAACATCCTACACCATTACCCCCAACATCCCACCCATCCCCCAACATCCTACCCCATTACCCCCCAACATCCTACCCCATCCCCCAACATCCTACCCCATTACCCCCCAACATCCTACACCATTACCCCCCAACATCCTACACCATTACCCCCCAACATCCTACCCATTACCCCCCAACATCCTACACCATTACCCCCCCATCTTATCCCATTATCCCCAACTTAGCCACTCCCCCCTCATCCAACTCCATTTCCCCCCATGTCACCCCCCCCCCCCAGACCCCCGGTGTGCCCGAGGCTGTGAATGGCGGTCACGTGCCCCCGGGGGCGGGGTCTGCTGACCCGGAAGTGCGGGCGGGATGTGTTTCCGGGGTCAGTGGTGATGTGGCCGAGAATCTGAGGTCAGAACTTTCTCTTTTCCTTAAACTTTCCTTTTAAACTGTAACCCGAACACAGTCATTAATATATATATATATACACAGAGAGAATAACCCGAACACAGTCACTAATATATATATATATACACAGAGAGTAACCCGAACACAGTCACTAATATATATATATACACAGAGAGTAACCCGAACACAGTCACTAATATATATATACACAGAGAGAATAACCCGAACACAGTCACTAATATATATATATACACAGAGAGTAACCCGAACACAGTCACTAATATATATATATACACAGAGAGTAACCCGAACACAGTCACTAATATATATATATATATATACACAGAGAGTAACCCGAACACAGTCACTAATATATATATATATATACACAGAGAGAGTAACCCGAACACAGTCACTAATATATATATATATACACAGAGAGTAACCCGAACACAGTCACTAATATATATATATATATACACACAGAGAGTAACCCGAACACAGTCACACACACAGAGTAACCCAAACACAGTCACTAATATATATATACACACACAGAGAGAGTAACCCGAACACAGTCACTAATATATATATATATATACACAGAGAGAGTAACCCGAACACAGTCACTAATATATATATACACACACAGAGAGAGTAACCCGAACACAGTCACTAATATATATATACACACACACAGAGAGAGTAACCAGCTCACAGTCACTAATACCATTAACCTGTCCCTCTCCTGTGGCTCTGTTCCCATTCCCCTCAAAACTGCCACCATCACTCCCACACTGAAAAAGCCCTCCGTTGATGTGTCGCAGCATATATATCAACTACCGGCCCATCTCCAACCTCCCCTTCCTGTCCAAGGTTCTCGAACGAGTCGTGGCCTCCCAGCTGCGCTCTTTCCTCTCCACCCACTCACTTTTTGAACCCCTTCAGTCGGGTTTCCGTGCTGCCCATAGCACAGAAACTGCCCTGGTCAAGGTCACCAATGACATCCTGACCATCTGCGACCAGGGCTCCCTCTGCCTCCTCGTCCTCCTCGACCTATCGGCCGCATTCGATACGTTCGACCACTCTATCCTCCTCCACCGCTTGTCCTCCCACCTCAACCTTCAAGGTTTAGGTCCTACTTCTCCCACCGTCTTCATTTTGTTTCCACGAACGGCTTTTCCTCCAGCCCCCGCACTGTTAACTTCCACGTGTATGAGGATGACACCCAACTCTACCTTTCCTCCTCTACCCTCAACTCCATGACCCCCGATGTCCTGACAGCTGTCTGTCCGACATCGAGTCCTGGACGAGAGACAACTTTCTTCAGCTCAACGTGCGCCAAACTGAGGCCCTCCTGATTGGCTTACGTCAGTCTCTCAGCCCCGAGGCTCTGGAACTTCATTCCCCAGTGCCTTCGCCTTGCTTCCTCCCTTCCTCCGACCCAACTGTCCAGCGCCTTGGGACGTCCTCCCGACGTGAAAGGTGCTCTATAAATGCAATCTTGTTGTTGTTGCTCTCTCTCCCCCTCTCTCCACCCAGCGCTGTGCTGGAGCATCAGCCTGGACTCTGAGCTCAGAGTCCCCAACATGGGGGGCGGGTGGGGGCTCGAACCCACAACCTCTTGACTCGGAGAGCAGAGAGCCCGGTTGAGTCAGGCTGACACTTGATCAGAGAAGAGGCTGCTGATCATTGTGGCTTTAATGTTTGGAATGTAACATTCCTGACAAGTAACTGCCTCGTGTCAACCTCACCATCCATCCTCCCCTTTAATTCTGTACATCTGGAATCTTGTAGCTCAGTGGTTAGAACACTATCTCACAAGCGAGAGGATCCGGGTTCGATTCACGGGCAGGGCAAGGCCTTAGGCAAGTTTCCTTACTCCACACGCCTCTTTTACCAGCATAGGTAGGAACTCGGTTGTTAGTCGATTGGTGGATCGTTTTTCCGGGGGTAATAATCCCTCCAAAAAATAAACAAATATTAGAAGAGTCAAGAGGGGTAGAGGGTATAAACACACAGCCACGTTATGGTGTACAATCTACAGAAAACAATGTTCAGGTGTTCTGCTATTGTTGTTATAAACTCCTGTTTGTGGTTTGCTGCTGTGCGCAAATGTATATTTTATGGGTGAAACGCGGCAGCCAATTGTGCACAGCCAGCAGTGTTCCACAAACAGTCGTGGATTGTGTGACCAAATTATTATTTATGTATTTTTTTTGAAAGGGATTATTACCCTTAATTATTACCCCTGGATAAACAATCTGTCAATCAACTAACAACCGGGTTTCGGCTTACTGCCCGGTAAACAGGCGTGTGGAGTAAGGAAACTTGCCTAATGTGTTGTACTGCCCGAGAATCGAACCCAGGTCCTCTCGCTTGTTGAACCATGTTCAGCACAGACCCTCCTGCGTGTGATGCAGTCACACGGTGCCCCTAACACTGCATCCCTATCCACAGCTCAGCCATGCTTAGCCGCTTGTCGGATATTGCCAAGGGGGTGAACACTGTGCTACACGAGCTGTCCGGGGAGGGCGATGAGCAGCCGGACAGCACACCAGAGGCTGTGAGTAACATCAACCACATGGTGAGAGACCCCCAGCACAGACACGATGGGGAGAGAGAGAACAGGGAATGGGGTTAGAGTAGAGAGCTCCAGTGGGGGAGCGAGCCCCAGCACAGACACGATGGGGAGAGAGAGAGAGAGAGAGAGAGAGCAGGGAATGGGATTAGAGTAGAGCGCTCCAGTGGGGGAGCGAACCCCAGCACAGACACGATGGGGAGAGAGAGAGAGAGAGAGAGAGAGCAGGGAATGGGGTGAGAGTAGAGATCTCCAATGGGGGAGCGAGTGCAGGTGACGTGGTCTAGTATACAGGGTAAGTGGGGTAATTCGCTGCGTGTGGAGTTGGACGAGGTGAGGGCTGTATCGCCAGCTGTGTGACTAGCATGTGACTAACATGTATCCTGTGTAGGAGCCGGTGCTGGAGGCTGAGGTGCCGGAGGATGTGTTGGAGAGGCTGGCACACACTGAGCAGCTGGTCGGGCAGCTCAAGGAACTGATACGTGAGAAAGATCTTCAGCTTCAGAGCAATGAGGCTGCCCACAAGGTAGGAATCCCCAAGCCCTGCACGACACCTTCCCATTCCCCCCTTCCCTCCACACATATACACACACACACACACCCAGTGAGCCATGTGTCTCTCTGTGCCAGTGGCTGGGGCCTGGCTAACAGGGGGGGCTGGGGGCCAGGGACTGGCCCTGCCCATCAGGGGGAGAGGGCGGTGGCGGAGGCCAGGGTGGGGTTGGGGTTTGGGGCTGGGGCCTGGTTAACGGTTGCCTGCTCGGCAGGGGGAGAGGGAGGTGGCGGAGGCCAGGTTGGCTAAGCTGAAGCTGCAGGCGAAGGGGAGGATCTCAGCCCTGACCGGCCGCATCGAGGAGCTGCAGAGTGGAACCGCTCACTCCACAACCTCACCCACAGCCACACCACCATCGCCTGAGCCAGAGAGCGCTGAGCACAGCCCAGCGCAGGTAACCACACCGCAGTGTGTGTGAGCATATGTGTGTGTTTGAGCATGTGTTGGCGCATATGCGAGTGTGTAAGCACGTGTGTGTATTATGTGAGTGCATATGTGTGCATTCGCGCTTGCATATGTTTGTGTGTGTGAGAGAGAGAGCATGTGTGTTTGTATGGGTGTTATATGAGTGCCTATATGTGCATTTATGCGTGTGCACGTACGTCTGTGTGTGTGGGGGGGGGGGGGGAGTGGGGGGGAGCTGGGCTGAGTGTCCTCCTGTCTGTGTTACTGTAACAGCTGGGCTCTCAGAGGTGTGATAGTGAGTGCTAACCTGTGTGCACAGACCAGCGTGGGGCAGGGAGACGCGGGGGTGCAGACTGAGCTGGACAGACTGCGGCAGGAGCTGCTGGCCGAGGCACAGAGGTGCTGGAGCCTACAGGGGAGGCTGGAGAGCACAGAGGAGCAACTGCGAGTCTGTAAACAACAGCTGGAGCTGAGGGCAGCCGAGCACGCAACACAGGTACCGAGCACGCAACACAGGTACCGAGCACGCAACACAGGTACCGAGCACGCAACACAGGTACCGAGCACGCAACACAGGTACCGAGCACGCAACACAGGTATTGAGCACCTTCTGCAGGAGGTGACAGGCTGGGGGCTGTGTTTGCCGTGGGGTGGGGGCTGTGTTTGCTGTGGGGTGGGGGCTGTGTTTGCTCCGGGGGAGCCTGTGCTTGCTGTGGGGGGGGTGACTGACTGACTGCTGTGTGTAGGTGCGAGAGCTGCAGGAGGTGATTGAGGAGAAGGATGTTCGCTTCCAGGAGCAGATTCACAAACACGAGGAGGAGCTGGTCAGCCTGGCCACCGCTCCTGGGGGCTCCTCACAGCTCCAACAGGTATCCCTCCCCCAACCACACACACAACCCCCTTCCCCCCCACCACACTCACAGCCACACCACACTCATCGTCCCATCCCGCCCCACACATAGCATCTTCCGCCCCACACATAGCCTCTTCCGCCCCACACATAGCTTCTTCCGCCCCGCACATAGCCTCTTCCGCCCCGCATACAGCCCTTCCCCCTCAAACACACATCCCCTCCCCCCACACACACATCCCCTCTCCCCCACACACACATCCCTTCCCCCCTACACACAACCCACTCCCCCCCCCCACACACAGCCCCTTATGCTCCACACACAGCCCTTCCCCCCCACACATAGCCCCCTCTACCCCACACACATCCCCCCCCACACACACACATCCCTTCCCCCCCACACAGCCCCTCCCCCCACACACACAGCCCCCTCCCCCGTATTCCCACACATGTTAGTGAGCTGCTGACATGCGCTCTCTCTCTCACATAGACAATAAGATCTTTACAAACGAAGCTGGAGGAGAAGGAGGAAGCTCTTGTTGGACGGACACGAGTGGTAGAGATGTTACAGCAGGAACTGAATAACAGTGAGCAGAACAATCAGGTACTCAGGCCCTGACACAGTCAGTGTGCATCACACTCACACGAGCAGCTAACCAGGACTCCAGTGCAGTAGGTAACACAAACACTGATGCTCACAGGTACCATGAGCTCACTGTACGTGCCTGGCGCTCTCATCTCCTACGTCAGACAGTCGTGGGTTCTGAGCTCACAGTCCAGGCTAATGCCCCAGTGCAGAGCTGTGGGGAGAAAGTGTCACATTGTCAGAGACACTATTTTTCAGATGAGATGTTAAACCTCAGTCCCTGTCTGTGCCCTGCTCAGGCGGACGTTAAAAGATCCCACAATGCTGTTGGAAAAGAGAAGGGAGGTTCTCTCTCTCTCTCGCTCTCTGTCTCTCTGCTGGCTGACAATCTCCTACATAAAATCACTCACTCATTTTGTGGCTGTTTGCGGGGATGTTGCTGTGCGCTCGGGGTGGGGTTGTAGGAGCGGTGAGGCTGAATTTGACCTGTTCCCCAGGCTCTCACCGGGAGGCTACAGGCTGCTGAGGCGGCTCTGGAGGTGGAGAGACACTCAGCACAGGCACCACGGGAGGAGCACCATGAGGAGGCTGGGGGAGAGCAGACCAGCCAGGGCCAGGCTCTGCCACAGGAGATCAGCCCACTCCAGGGTGAGACATACAGCCTAACGGGGCCTTTGGGTGGGGTGCGGGGGTCGGATGGGGGTGTTCGGGGGGTGGGGGAAGGTTAAGAGTGGGGGCTGGGGGAGTTTGGGCTGGCGGGGGTCCAGGGGTTGGAGCTGAGGGGTGTTGGGGCTGGGGGATTTAGGTGGGGTGGGGGGAGGGGCCGGGGGTTGGAGCTCGGGGGTGTTGGGGCTGGGGGGTTTAGGAAGGGGTGTGTTACTGTAATAACGCTGTGTGTCACCCCTCACAGAGGAGCTGGACAGCGAGAGGGCATCACAAGCTGAGATGGCATTACTGCAGGAGACCAGGGTCCATGTCCGGGAGCTGGAGGAGGAAGTGAGGTCACTGCAGGTCAGAGCAGTGTGTGTGTTAATGGTTTGCCTAAAAGGAGCTCTGCCATATGTTTCTGTACACACACCTGTAATATCTCATATTAGTCACCGAGGTGCAGGTATGAAGTGACACACAGAGACACACACACACAAACAGATACAGACACACACAGATACACACACACAAACAGACACATACACAGAAACAGTGGTAACTGCAGGCCAGCAGCTAATTCCGGAGCAGGTTTAAAACTAATCAGATCAGAGTGTAAAGTACTCCTGTTCCACTTCCTATATCCCCTGTTACTGATTGAGGCTGTTTACACACTCACTGGCAGGAGACCAGTCGTACTCTCAGCTGTCTTGTGCGCAGTAAGGTCCCACACTCACCACACGGGGAGAGAGAAACCCCCTTATTGAAAGCACCACGGGATCTTTGCTTGAAAGGCATAGACGGCACCTCAGTTTAACGTTGCCCCCCCCACCACCGGAAAATGTGGAGTCCTGTAGCTCAGTGGTTAGAGCACTCGCCTCACAAGCCAGAGGACCGGGTTCAAATCCCGGACAGGACAAACCTTGACCAAGTTTCTTTACTCCACGCACCTGTTTACCTAACAGTAAGTAGATAAATAGGAACCCGCTTGTTACTCGATTGGCTTTTCTGGGAGTAATAATCCCTTCAAAAAACTAATAATAATTTGGTCACTTCAATTCACGGCCGATGTGCGCAATTAGCTGCCGCTTTTCGCCCATAAAATATACAGTCAATTCACTTTTACAGTGTACAGTACAGTGCTGTGAAGCTCTTTGAGACGTCTAGAAGACGTGATAAAGGCGGTGTATCAAGGATTATTATAACAGGTCATAGCTCTGTGTTCCTGTCCTACACCTGGCAGCCCGGAGACTGCGAGGGAATTAGAATTGTGATAAAGGATTAACATCAGACAAAGCAGTGTTCCACATGCATAGTAATCAGTAAATACAGTGATGTGTGACAGGATCAGCTCTCTCTCTCTCTCTGACCTCAGATGGCAGCCCACTCCATGTTATCTCTCAAAGAGACAGTAACTTCACATTTTCACGNTTTTTTAACACAGCGCCGTTCTCCTTGTGAGGACATTATTTCCTTCACAGGAGTTACTATAAAGTGTAGTGACTGTGTATTTTGTAAGCCCGCAAAACAACCATGAAGTGAGTGACTGATTTTAGGTGGGTCTTGTCGGCCAGGACACCGGGAGAGAGAAACTCCTTTATCATTTGCAGCAGCGCCGTGGCGATCTTTACTGTCCACCTGAACAGGGCACAGGCGGGACCTCTGACAATGCGACGCCCCCAGCGTCAGTTTAGACTGTGCTCAAAGCCCTCGACACATGGCTCCAACTCACAAGCTTCCGACTCAAACCAGAGTGTGAGCGGCTGAGCCAAGCTGAGCCCTGACCTGGACACGGGGCTTGAGACTGCCAAGGTGTCTGGCAGGCCACAGGCTGTCCCTCCACGAGACTGCAGACAGATTAGGAACATGACCAGCAGTTAAATCTGTGTCCATAAAACTTCAACTACTCTCTAACCCAATTTCCCTGTGACCTCTGATTCTGTACCCTGGAATACACGAACAACAACTTGCATTTACACAGCAACCTCATGCAGAGCGCTTGACAGTGGCAGAGCCCAATCCCGAGCTGGGCGGAGGGGGGGTGACTGTAGGCTCAGTCAAAGAGGAAGGTCTTCAGGCGCGATCTGAAGATGGGGAAAAAAGGGGCAAGGCGGGGACATAGAGGAAGAGTGTTCCAGAGTCTCGGGGGGTAGTGGCTGAAAGCGCGGGCACCGATGGTGGAACAGAGGGCATGAGGGACAAGCACGTTGACGATTTCCCCGTCCGCTCCCCCCTCTCTAGACCGCTGCGAAGGAGCAGGAGGTAGCCTTGCTGAACCGTGTGGCGGAGATGGAGGAGGAGAAGGGGAGTTTGCTGCTGAAGGTTGTGGAGTTTGAGGAGGTCCGAGCTGAGAATGGTAATGAATATGGCTCGGAGCGAGGGACGTATTTTGCAATCCTCCCGCCCCCTCCATTCTCAATCGCCCCCCCCCTCCATTCTCAATCGCCCCCTCCCCCCCATTCTCAATCGCCCCCCCCCACCCCATTCTCAATCGCCCCCTATTCTCAATCCCCCCACATTCCCAATCTCTGCTCCTGCTCTCACAGTCACCGGGGGTGTGTGTGTGTTTGTCTCTCTGGTTTGCTGCCTATGGCAGGTGGTGCTGATCAGTGACTGAGGGAGGGGAGGGAGGGAGTTGGTAAAGCATGGACACAGCTGAAGCAAGCGGTTTGTGTTTGCACAGAGAGCCTGCGTGGCCGGGTGAGGGAGCTGGAGGAGCAGAGCGAGAGGAACGCAGTGCCAGAAGATCCCGATCCCAACCAGGTGAGGATTCCCATCAAAGCTCTGACCACTGCTCCCAAGCCAACGCACCCCATCCTGAGATTAGCCACTCAGCACAGAGCGGGGCTCAGATCAAATGTGAGGATTATATTATGTATTAAAGCTGCTTCATTCTTCTCCTCTGTCCAGGCTGGAGCATCTGACGCCATGACCCTGGAGCCCACAGAGTCAGAGCCTGTCACCAGAGCCCCGTCTCCTGGGGTCACAGGTAACACAGAGAACAACTACTTGCATTTATATAGAGCCCCTCACGCAGGGTAGAGTCCCAGAGCTGTGTCTGGGCAGAGCGGACAATAATGTTATTAGATAGCCCTACAACAACTACAACAAACAACTCATTGCATTTATATCGCGACTTTCACGTAAGGAGGACATCCCACAAGGGGATGTTAAACAAGGCACCTGCCGGCCTGGGAGGTGTCCTCATTAAGAGCTTGGAGAACAAACATCACCAAATCATCACTGGGAGAGTTAGGAGGTAACGACACCAGCACAGACACGATGGGGAGAGAGAGAGCAGGGAATGGGATTAGGGGAGAGAGAGCTGTGGCTTTCTTTTTTGGCTGTTCTGTAATGGATAATGTGGTTGAATTAGCCGCTGATCAGGGAGATATAATAAGCTGCAAATGATGAGAAAAGGAAGTGCAGTGAGCAGCACAGATTAGGGGCAATTTATTTGGGAGTCTGTGACGTTCCCACTCCCTCAGCCTCTCCCAGTATAGATAGTGACCATGATCCCAGCCAGTCAAGGTCACACTCACTCCTACACTCACACGTGAACTCACACACAATCTCGCCCCCACACACACATACACATACACTCAACGTACGTACACATCCTCACAATCACACACACACACAATCACACGCAAATGCGCGCACGCACATTCTCACGCTCACAAAAGGCTTTTCAAGACTGAGATGGATAGATGTTTGTTAGGTCAGGGTATCAAGGGATATGGGACAAGGGTAGGTGCTTGGAGTTGAGGTACAGGTCAGCCATTATAGAATTGCAGAACAACAACAAGATTAAATAACAACTAGATTACATTTGTATAGCACCTTTCACGTCGGGAGGATGTCCCAAGGCGCTGAACAGGCTCAAGGGGCTGAAAGGCCTCCTGTTCCTATATTCCTATGTAACACATTCACACACACACTGGGTGGAACAAGCAGATAGTGGGGCTAGACTGTATTACTGTAACTGTGTGAGTGATTGTGACTGGCGACTGTTTGCCCTCACAGGACACATGGAGCAAGTCTCCACAGAGGAGACGGGAGATCGTGCTGTCGATGGGGGAGCAGAGGGAGAAGTGAGTGAGCGAGCAGACACCCAGCTACCGGAGCCCCTCAGTATGAGCCTGGTGGAGCCATTGTGTTCACAAGACACAAGATTGGTTCAGATGAAGAAGGCCCCCTTTGGCCCATCTCATCTCATCCCTTCAGAATACACCACCACCAACTTGTATTTGTATATCCTCCTTCACACAGGGCAGGGTCTCAGAGCACTGAACTACCCACCCTTCCCTTCCCTTCCCCATCACTGCATCGAGCTGCTTCTTAAAGAAGTCCCAGTATCCTGACCTCAACCACCTTTCCCTGTAACTCTTTCCTGTCGTTAATTGCACTAAATAATTATACTCACATTTGATATTGCACCTTATCACGTTGTTGAGACGTCTCATAGCACTTCACAGAATATACTATAAATTGAATTGGCTACATATTTTTGGGCGAAACACAGCAGCCGAGACGGGTTCCTACTTACTGCTCTGATAAAGAGGCGTGAGAAGTAAGGAAACTAGCTCATTGTTTTGCCCTGCCCAAGAATCGAACGCAGGTCCTCTCACTTGCGAGACGAGTGCTCTAACCACTGTTCGTAAGTTTGATTAATTTTTCTGAGACGGAACCTTATTGCACAAACTCTGACTTTATAGGGAGGTGAAGCGGAGGCCGGGAGCGATCAGCAGCCCAGAGACACGTGCAATTTGATATCTTCACAGAGGAGCGTTTGTGAGAAGGATCAGGAGCTGGGGGATGTGCTGCACAGACTGGCTGAAGCCCAGGAGCTGATACTGAGGCTCAGGTTGGAGTTGGAGGAGAGGACTGGGGGTGTGACAGCCTCCGCTGTGCGGGAGATGGAGAGAGGCTCTGCTTCACTACTAGACGTTTGCGGAGAACAGATGGGATCATGCGAGGCTGTGGTGACTAGCCCGGTGGGAGCAGTGGAAGGAGGGAACGTTTGGGCCAGGGAACAGGAGGAGAGCATTACCACTGCTGTCCAGCAGGAGGCGACAACATGCTCCAGCACTGAGCAGGACCTGGGGAGTGAACCTGGACCAGGGTCCGGAGAGCAAGTGGAGGCTCAAGGGGATTCAGGAGAGGAACAGCGAAGAGAGGTGTGTGGAGATGAACTTCCGGAGCAGGAAGAGGCGGAGAATCTTCAGGGGCAGGAGCTGGAGGACACAGAGACTCTTCCTGGTCAACAGCGGCAGGAAGAGGTGGGCCATGATGAGCGAGAGGCGGAGCATGGTGTGGGAGAGGCGGGGCATGGTGAGGGAGAGGCGGAACATGCTAGGGGAGAGGCGGGGCATGGTGAGGGAGAAGAGGGGCATGGTAAGGGAGAGGCGGAGCATAGTGGGGGAGAGGCGGGGCATGGTGAGGGAGAGGCGGACCATGGTGGGGGAGAGGTGGAGCATGGTGAGGGAGAGGCGGACCATGGTGGGGGAGAGGTGGAGCATGGTGAGGGAGAGGCGGAACATGGTGGGGGAGAGATGGAGCAGGGTGAGGGGGAGGTGGGGCATGGTGAGGGAGAGGCGGAGCTCACCCAGAGGGCTGTGGACAGCCTGACTGAGGAGAGGGATGGGCTCTTAGCTCAACTGGAGCTGAGAGACAAGGAGTTGCGTGAGGTAATGTGGCTGAAGGCTGAGCTGGAGCGAGGGCAGGAGAGCATGGCCCTGACTGAGCATGCCCTGCGCCTGGAGATGGAGGAGGCCATTGTAAGCAGCCGTCTGCTGGAGGAACGCCTCCACAGCTCGGTCACCGAGTCCCGGTCAAAGGATGTGAAGGTTGAGGCCCTGCAGAAGGACTTGGACGCCCTGCAGCACTGCTTGTCTGAGCAGGAAGCCGAGGCCCGAGCGGTGCGAGAGCAAGGCTGGGAGAGCGAGCAGGCAGTGGCTAGGCTGAGCCAGGGCCTGAGTGAGAACGAGGCCCAGGCCGAGGAGCTACAGCGAAGCCTGGACAACACTGAGCAGCAGTTGGCGTTGGCCCGGCACAGCCTGACCCAGGAGGCCACCGAGGCCCAGCGGCTCCGCATGGCGCTGGCTCAGAGAGAGGAGGAGGTCAGCGAGGTGACAGCCAGCCTCTCCGAGAAGATGGTGGAGCTCAACGAGGACAAGTTTTCACTGGGGGAAGAGGTGAAGAGGCTGAGGGAGAGGCTGTGCCAACTGGAGGCCAGTCGAGGAGAGGTGGATTCTCAACATGATGGCTCCCAGGGCGAGGGGCAAGTGTACCAGGCAGAGGCTGGTGAAGGAGGGACAGGGACCGCAGGTGATCTCTCCCAGCGCGGCCAGGACGAGGGGCAAGCGGACATCCCCAGAGGAGACCAGGCTGGAGAGGAGAAAGTGGGACTGGAGGAAGAGTTGGAGAAACTGAAGAAGGAAAATGAACAGATAAAGAGGAAGTTTCAGGCCTCTTTGGTAAAGAGGAAGGAGCTTCTGAAGAAGGTCAAGGAGTTGGAGAAGAGTGTGGAGCTTCAGACGTCACAAAGCCCCGCTCTGGGGAAGACTGACAGTGATAACAACACAGGGTCTTCGGGGCAAGAGAGAGAGCCTGAGCTCACAGCCCCCTTGAACACCCAGATTATTGAACTGAGAAGAGAGCTATCCTACAGGGAAGCGGAGTTTGGGGATGTGAGAGTTGTTTTGCGAGAGCAGGAAGCTGCCATGGGACAGCTCCGGAAGCTGGTGGGGGATCTGAACCAGAGCCTGGAAGAGAGAGAGACCACCATGAGCTGTCTGCAAACCACAATCTCAGAGAAAGATCTGACCATCCAACAGCTGCTGGCGCAGCATGAGGTAATAATATAATATATTAATTATAATAATAATATTTCTTGCATTTGACCCAGCGCCTTATTACATCGTCGGGACGTCTCAAAGCGCTTCACAATAAACTAAAGTGTAGTGACTGTTTATTTTATGGGCGAAATGCGACAGCTAGTTGCGCACAGTGGTGTCCCACAAACAGTTGTGGATTGAGTGACCAAATTATTATTTGTTTTAAAAGGGATTATTACCCCCGGAAAAGCCATCCACCAAACAGGTGGAGGGAGTAGACTCAGGAGGCGAAGGGCTGGAGACAGGCTATCCTGGGGTGGAGGTGCTCGACCCTGTGACCTCTCTGGGAAGTGCGAGCGGCAGTGAGCTTGAGGCTAAACTCGCTGGGCTGGAACTGGACAGGGAACAGCTACAGAGGAAGCTAGAGGAAGCCTTGTCCTCACGGAAGGAGACGATCAAGAAAGCTCAGGAGAAAGCCCGTCATCACCGGGAGCAGGTCAGACAGCAGAAGGAGGAGTACTCCCTCCTGGCGGAGAGCCTGAGCCAGGAGCAGAGGGAGAAGGACAGCCTGCGTCAGGACCTCCTCAGCCTGAGAGAGCAAATCCGCCAGGCAGAGGAGAGCCCCTCAGCCCCCAGCGATCACCAAGACCTGACTGCCATTCTGAGACAAAAGGACAAGGAGCTGGAACAACTTCAGCTTCGCCTGAAGGAAAAGGAGGAAGTCCGCAAGGATCAGGGGCAGACGAAGCCTGGGGAAGGCCTGAGCGGAGAGCAAGGATCCGAAGCATCCCATGGGGACAGACCAGAGGCCAGTGTGGAGGTCAGTGAGCAGGTCAGTGAGGAGCACCAGGCACCTTTGGAGAACATGGATTCTGGCTGGAGCCAGGACTGGGTGGACATACCTGCTCCGGGGATGGTCCAGGATTCCATGGGCGGGCTGGGATCAGGACCGGGACCTGGAGAGCCGTTTGGAAGCGGATCGAGGGGCGATGTTGAGGGTGAGGCAGGTGGTCGTGAAGGAAAACCGTGGGAATTGGTGGATCGTGATCAGAGGGCGAGGGAGGAGAGTGAGGAGCGAGTGGCGGAGTTAGAGCACACCTTCGGGCTGGAGAGAGAGGAGTTGCTGGGGGAGATCGAAGCTCTGAAGGTGAAGTGTCAGGAGGCGGAGGTGTACACAGAAGACCTGAAACTGGCACTGGAGACAGCCAAGGCACACACCTCACTCTCTGAGGAACTCGCAGCAATGAGCAAAGAGTACGAGGAACTGAAGGCGATTTTGGGTCAAAGGGAGGAAGAAATGGAACGTCTCCATCTACGGCTGAAGGAACACGAGGAGTTGATTGAAGATCAGCGCCGGAGGATCACCTCCGAACAAGAACTGGCCAAGGCTTTGCAGGACAGGATGGGGGAGCAGCTGAAGGAACGGGAGGAGTTGCGAGCGGAGCTGCAGGAAGCCCGGCAACGGGAGGAGGAAGGCACACAGGAGGCCAGGTCCAGGCAGCAGATACAGAGGAAACTCCAGGCCGCACTCATCTCCAGGAAGGAGACCCTGAAGGAGAACAAGTCCCTGAAGGAGGAGATGGCTGGCGCGGAGCGAGACAAGGAAGAGCTCACTGGCAAAATGGCCGACTTGGAGCGGATCTCCTCAGCCCTCAGGAGGGAGAGCGAGGAGACGGCTCTCAAGATGTCCAGCCTTCGGGAGCAGAACGGAAAGCTGATCGAGGAGGTGGACAAGGCGCTAGACGAGAACTACAACCTGAACTCCTCGTGTGAGAGCCTGAAGCTGGCTGTGGAGGGGGTGTTGCGGGAGAAGGACAGCCTGGAGCAGGAGATGGTGTCCCTGAAGGAGGTCCAGGCCGGGCAGAGGCGGGAATGGGAGAGCAAGCGGGCTGAGCTCCAGCAGGAGTACGAGACCCTCCTGCAGGCCTACGAGAACGTGGGCGGGGAGACGGCCAGGCTGGGCCGGGCCCTGGACGTGGCCAAGCAGGACAGGCAGGAGCTGCTGAGCCGGCTGCGGGCGGGCGAGGCTGGCACCCGGGAGCTGGAGGCACGGCTGGAGGAGGCCGCCCAGGAACAGGAGAAGACCCGGGAGAAGATGAGGAAATTCGCCAAGTCCAAGCAGGTGAAGATCCAGGAGCTGGAAGAGGAGATTGCGGCGCTCCAGGTAAAAGGACAACCCGGAACACCGGGAACGCCGCCAGCCGCGCAGACGGTTCCCGGGTCGGCAAACGAGGCAGACGGACGATGGGAGGACATCACCGGGGAGTTGGCCACCAGGAATCGGGAACTGATGGCGGAGCGTGAATCCTTGGAAGAAGAAGCCAGGATGTTGCGGTTGCATCTGGCAGATGCGGAGGAGAAGCTGAAGGAGAGCCTGAGGAGAACAGGAAAGGACGAAGAGACCCAGGAACGGGACGTCACATCACAGGATGTGACCTCACAGGAAGAGGTCCCCCCGGCCGGCCACCCCGAGATGAAGGTCAAGGTGGAGTTTGAGGGCAAGTTGGGATCCAACTGGACCTCACCCGCCGGGTCCACACTCGCTCCTAAAGCTGACGGGAGTGGGCAGCGCGCGTCCGAGCTGGAGAAGAGGGTGAGAGAGCTGGAGAGCCAACGTCAAGACACCAAGAATGAGATTCGAGCCTTAATGGCGGCCAAGCAGGCCTGGGAAGAGGAGAGAGCGCGGATGGAGGGGGAGATAGAGAGGCAGCGGGAGGAGGTGAGGCGGGTGGAACAGTCGCTGTCTGAGCGAGAGCTGGACACCGGCCAGTGGCAGGAAAAGGTGGCGGCTGCAACGAGGGGGAAGGAAACAGCCGAGGCGGAGAGAGACGACCTGGAGGAGAGATTGATGAACCAGCTGGCGGAGCTGAACGGTAGCATCGCTAATTACCAGCAGGAGCTGGAGGTGAGTGGCAGGAAGGTGTGTGAACTAGAGGTGATGGCCCAGAATCAGGGCAGGCAGGTGGGAGAGCTGGAGGAGGAGATCAGGCAGCTGAGGAGAAGTAAGGCCGAAGGGGAGGACAGGATGCGCAAGGAATTTGAGCAGAAAGTGAAGTCCATCCAACGGGGGCGAGACGGGAGCAAGACCCACAACGCTGAACTACAGGAGCTGCTGAGGGAGAAACAACAGGAGGTGAAACAGCTTCAGAAGGACTGTATCCTATACCAGGAGAGCATCAGCCATCTACAGAGGAGCCTCAAGGCCCTGCAGTTCGTGCAGGACGAGACGCAGAAGGCATTGGACACTGCCAAGAGAGAGGCGGCAGATAGAGACGAGGACAGCCGGAGAGCGAGGGAGGAGCTGGCCGCCTTCAGGGTCAGGCTGGACGACACACAGAGTGAGGCGGGTAGGGTCTTGGCGGACAATGTCAGGCTCCGGGAGGAGGTCAAGGCCGGGGAGAGCAAGGCTCAGGGTCAGCTGGCCAGGATGGAGAAGGAGCTGAACAGCAGGCTGGAGCTGGAGAAGGAAAAGTGCAGGAAGGAGGTGAGGAATGCCCAGGAGAGAGCGGAGGGCCTGGAGCGGGAGAAGGCGCACACAGAGGCCACCGTCCGCGAGCTCAGAGACACTCTGGAGGAGAAGAGGGAGGAGGGCAAGCGACTGCAAACCAGCTTCAACGAGAACCTGGCCAAGTTGGCGGCCTTCACACGCAGCATGTCCTCGCTGCAGGATGACCGGGACAGGATCATCGATGAGTCGAGGAAGTGGGAAACCAAGTTCAACCAGGATATGGTGAGGAAGGAGGAGGAGATGAGGAGTGGGCAGGAGGAGGTGGCCAGGTTGAAGGAGGCCTTCAGACAGAGCACCATCCAGGGCGAGGAGCTGGAGCTCAAGCTCTCCAGGTAACACACTAACCTCCTCCTCACAACAATTCTTCATACCGTCCGCCGTCCCTCACATCACTGGAGTCTTGTAGCTCAGTGATGAGAGCACTCACCTCGCAAGCGAGAGGACCTGGGTTTGATTCCCGGGCAGGTCAGGGCAAAACCTTAATACTCCACACGCCTGTGTTTACCAAGTAGTAAGTAGGAACCCGGGCTGTCAGTCGATGGGCGGATTCCTTTTTTGGGGGGAGGGGGTAATTAATCCCTTCCCCAAAAATAATAATAATGTGGTCACTCAATTCACGACTGCAATTGGCTGCTGCGTTTCACTCACAAAATACACGGTCACTGCACTTTGCAGTATATCCTGTGAAGCGCTTTGAGACGTCTCAACAACGTGCTAAGGCGCTGTATCAAATGCCAGGATTATTATCATTAGACCGTAATAATAAAATAATACTATGAGACCATATATAAGACCATTCCTAGACACAAAGATACACGCATTACAGACAGAGGAGAGAGAGAGAGAGACACACACACTTTCACACAGAGATCCTCGTAAACACACACACGCATAGAGGAGAGGCATCGTGTCTGTGCCTGCTCCTGTTCCAGGTCGGAGCTTGCGGAGCGGGAATGGGAATCGCACCTGGAGTCAGTGGAGGCCAGTCACCGGCTGGTGGTGGGGAGGCTGGAGGAGGAGGTGAGCGAGCGGGTGGCCAGGCTGGAGGAGCTACAGAGACTGTACGCAGACTGCGAGAGCGAGGTGCGGAGGCTGAGCGAGGAGGCCAGGGGGCTGCAGGAGGAGGCGGCCACGCTACGGAGCCGGGCAGAGACGCTGATGGAGACCCAGGACCGACTGGAGGTCAGGCTGAGGGATAGCGAGGCCGAGGCACAGGGCTTGAGGCTGACGTGTGAGCAGCTGAGCTCAGACCTGCAGACCTCCAAGGCACTGACCGACCAACTGCAAGCGGAGGCGGGGGAGACGGAGGGGAAGATCGTGGCTCTGCTGGAGGCCAAGGAGGCCGCAGTGGGCAGTGCGGTGAGTGAGCTCCAGCAGCAGCACGCCGGGGAACTGGAGCAGTGGGAGGCACGTCTCCGAGAGGCTGAGGGGGAGCGAGACCAGGCAGAGCAGGCCCTGAGGGAGCTGCAGAGCGTGGCTGAGACCCTGCGGGGGGAGCTCAGGCTGAGCAGCGAGGAGACCCAGAGACACAAGGACAAGATGCTCACCTTCAGCAAGTCCATGGCCTCGCTGCAGGCTGACCGGGAGCGTGTGCTGGCTGAGCACAAGGAGCTGGAGAGCCGGCACAGGGAGCTGGGGGAGCTGAGAGACCGCCAGGCGGGGGAGGGGGTCGAGGAGACCACGCAGCTCCGAGAGCAGCTGCGGGAGCTACAGGCTCGCATGGACGACACCAACTCAGAGAACGCCAAGCTGAGCGCACAGCTGGTCCGTTACAGAGAGGACCTCAACCAGGTGAGGGCAGAGGGGGGTGCAGCAAGGGGAAGGGGAGCTGGGGATACTGTGTTTCTAGCGGGTCGGGGAATGCTATCATGTAACCAGCAAGGGGTGAGTGTATAACTAGTGGTGGTATTGTGTAACTAGTGGGGTGCAATGGGGGCTTTGTAAGAAGCGGGGGGAAAGCGGGGTTGTTGGAAACTGGAATCATCAGTGTTCCACTAAGATTGAGACCTAGATAACATTCAAAGATGGGTGTTTGAGGAGAAGCGTGTAAGACCATCTTCTCTTGCCTCTCTCATTCTTTTCTATGTGGAGACCCGCAGCTCAGTGGTTAGAGAACTACTCGCCTCGCAAGCGAGTAGACCTGGGTTCGATTCCCGGCCAGGGTGAATATTTAGCAAGTTTCCGTACTCCTCTGTTTACCAGCAGTAATTAGGAACTTGGTTGTTAGTTGGTTGGCGGATTGCTTTCCAGAGGTAATAATTCTGTGAGATGTCAATAATTCAATGACCTGATAAGGTGTAGTATCAAATGCAAGGATTATTATTACATTAATATTATTATTCACCTCTCTCTACTTGTCGAGCACAGGTGATTACAATGAAGGACTGTCAGCACAAGCAGGTGCTGAGCTCTCACGTGGAGCGGGTGAGAGCATTGGAGGGGGAGAAGGCAGAGGTGAGGGAGCAGCTGGGAGAGGCTGAGAGCAGAGAGCAGCAGCTCACACAGCTCCTGGAGTCTGTGACGGGGGAGAAGGAATCTCTGAGCGGCCAGTTAGCCTCACTGGAAGGTACGGTGTTGGAGCTGAGGCAGGAGGTGGAGAGCCTAACCGGGGGAGGACCTCTGAGAGTCCTGCAGGACCAGCTGGAGGGGAAGAGCGCGGAGGCTGAGGAGCTGCGGGGCGGACTGGCCAGGGCGGTGACAGAACGGGACGAGGCCAGAAGCAAGCTCCAGGCAGCAGAGGCCAGACACATGGAGGAGCTGAGGAGACAGGAACGAGACACTGGCATCATGAGAAACGAGACGGAGACGGCGGAGGAGAGGGTGGCCGAGTTGGCTAGGGACCTGCTGGAGATCGAGGAGAGGCTGCGGCAGGTCATGGAGGAGCGGGAGGGCCTGAGGGCACAGAACCAGGCCTTTGGCAAAGCCATGGGGTCTCTCCAGCACAGCCGGGACCAGCTCCTGGCACAGCTGGAAGAGGGGAGCAACAAGGATGCTGAGGCTCGGTGTCGGGCGCTGGAGGAGGACAAAGCTGGGCTGACTGCACAGCTGGACGGCTTTGCCAGGACAGTGATGGCCCTGCAGGGCGAGCGGGACAGGCTGAGCGACCAGTTGGCAAGAGGCTGGAGGATACAGGAGGCCAGGCAGGGGGCGTCACCGGGCACCGTCAGCTCCCCCCCCACCACCACCGCTGCCGAGGCACAGAGTCTCCGCAAAGCACTGGCCGCTCTACAGGATGACCGGGACCGACTGGTAATCACCGCGCGCTGAGCCGAGATGAGCCGGGGCTTTACACAGGCCAGACAGTGCGGGAACATTGGCCCAACCGTGACGTGCCGGGCAGTGCTAGGCCGGTAAAGAGTAGGTGAGAGGGGGCCAACTTACACAGGAGGCTGTTTGTGTGAACGTTACGTTCAACATGTCCCCCATCAGGGTGGGGGGGGGTGGTGGGGGCAGTTGGTGGGGGTGGTGGGAAGTGGAAGATAACCAAACACACGGTCAGAAAGGAAGTGGGGAGGGAGGGGAGGTGGGGGTGACTCTGGGATGGGTTACCGGGAGCTGAGGCAGAATGGCTGAAAGCTCACTCACTGAGTGTGGGGTGGGGGTTGGATCAGGTGGTGGGTGGGCGGTGGGAGTATGAAGCGAACACGATGGCGGAGAAGGAGTGGGACGTTTAACACCCACCTAAACAGGCACAGGCGAGAGCTGGGATTTAATGTCTCACCCAGAGGACAGACAAGAACAAGCGTACGTGCCAAGCTGATGTCTTTCTGCTACTCCTGCGCCTTTCACTGATGTCTGGGTTTCCTCGGCAGCTGAAGGAGCTGCGACAGCTCCGGGCGGAGCGAGTGCGAGCGGGAGAGGAGTCGGAGTTGCGGGCACAGCTGAGGCAGCTGGAGGCACAGCTGGAGGAGCAGCGAGAGTGCCGGGAGCGAGCGGACCAGGACAACGCCGATCACCACCGGCAGCTACAGCAGTTCAGGTTCACACTCGCTCTCAAACCACCCCCTCGCTCGCTCTCAAACCACCCCCTCGCTCGGGCTACCCGTCCTCCCCAAATCACAAATTCCCAGCGGCCAATCCTGCGGTGGTTTGTAATACGATCGATAACAGGGAGGAGGGGTCCTTACTGTAAATTCTCCTGGTGGGGGGCTGGGGGTCGGGGTCTCCTCAGGGCTGAACTGTCTCCAAGGGGACCTGTTTGGCAATGGAATGTGGGAATCGGCCCCCCGCCCCGTGACGGTCTCTAGTCCCCGGTTCCTGAGCCAGGAGGGGCCGCAGTATCCCGGGGTACTCACTGCTGATGACAGCACAGCCCGGCCCGGCTCATCAGCAGGACCTGGAAGGGCCGACCAGTCACTGGGGGCCGGGAATCCTCCCCCTCAGCTCCTGTTAACCCTGCATCCAAAGCCCTAACTAACGGGGAGGGTGGTCCTAGCTGGTCAAGCAGCGGGAAAACTTGGCCAGACAGCGATATCAATGGCAAACTATGGATTTTCGTTGGCCACGGGGTGAGTGTGAGCCGGAGTGAGTGTGAACCGGGGGGGAATGTGAGCCAGGGGGAGTGTGAGCCGGGGTGAGTGAGGGTTTACTGTGCCGCAGGGATGAGAAGCAGGTACTGGAGCAGCAGATGGAGAGGTACCTGGTGACCATGTCGGACAAGGACAGGGAGATCAGCGAGCTCCAGGCTCACAGCCACACACAGCAGGTAAACTTCCAACGGGCTCCAACATACAAACTCCTGAATCGGCGGGCGAGGGAGCAACTGAGCCGGGCTCAGTCGGGGGTGGGGTTACAGCCCGGGTTGATGGGGGAAATGTTTGTGACTGGGGCGGGGTCTCTGGGGTTGGTTGGGGGTGTTCAGTGTAGGACAAGGCTTTGCTCACACTTGATGTTGAGGCGCTCTGGCAGGTGTTGGAGTGGGGGGTCAGTCTAGCGTATCTGGGGTTGGTTGGGGTGAGTCTGGGGGTGTGTCTGGGGTTGGTTGGAGTAATATCTGGGGTGGGGGTGTCTGGGGTTGGTTGGGGGGTTGTTTGCGCGGGGGCAGTGTTGTGAGGAGTTGGGGGTGTACAGTGATGGCAAGGCTTAGCTCACATGTTGATGTTGGGCTCTGGCTGTGGGGTCCGGCCCTGGTCACTTGCTGCAGGTGGAGGTTGAGAGGCTGGAGACGGAGCGGAGTGGCCTGACCTCACAGCTCAACGCCTGTCTGACAGAGCTTCACCACAGAGAGCTCCGCATCCAGCACCTCAACAGCAAGGTCAGCCCACAGCCCCCAGCCAGGCTCCCAGCTCTCAGCCCCCAACCCCCAGGTCAGCCCCCAGCTCTCAGCCCCCAACCCCCAGGTCAGCCCCCAGCTCTCAGCCTCCAACCCCCAGGTCAGCCCCCAGCTCTCAGCCCCCAACCCCCAGGTCAGCCCCCAGCTCTCAGCCTCCAACCCCCAGGTCAGCCCCCAGCTCTCAGCCCCCAACCCCCAGGTCAGCCTCCAGCTCTCAGCCCCCAACCCCCAGGCCAGTCCCCAGCTCTCAGCCCCCAACCCCCAGCCAGGCCCCCAGCTCTCAGCCCCCAACCCCCAGGCCAGCCCCCAGCTCTCAGCCCCCAGCTCTCAGCCCGCAACCCCCAGCCAGGGCCCCAGCTCTCAGCCCCCAACCCCCAGGCCAGCCCCCAGCTCTCAGCCCCCAACCCCCAGCCAGGCCCCCAGCTCTCAGCCCCCAACCCCCAGGCCAGCCCCCAGCTCTCAGCCCCAGCTCTCAGCCCGCAACCCCCAGCCAGGGCCCCAGCCCCCAACCCAGCCCAGCTTCCCCGACCTCCCAATCCAGCTCCAGCCCCCAGCCCTGCCCCCCACCCGACCCCTCAACCCAACCCCCAACCCAGCGCAGGCCACAGACCCCACCCGCCGCCCCCCTGACCCCCAGCTCCAGCCCAGCACAGCCCCCAATTAGCCTGACAGAGCTTCACCACAGAGAGCACTGCATCCAGCACCTCAATAAGGTCAACCCCCAGCCCCTGAGCTCAGCCAGTGCACAGCCTGACTCACCAGCCCTCACCCTGTGTCACTACCCTCATTCTATATCACTCACCCACCCTGCACTGACCACTCTGTGGCCGGTGTCTCACACTGACCTGTCTCTGTACTGACCGCTCTCTGGCCACTGACTGACCTGCGTGTAACACTGACTGCTGTCTCTGGCCACTCTATACTGACTGCTGTCTCTGGCTACTCTATACTGATCTCTCTCTCTCTGGCCGCTGTCTCTGGCCACTCTATACTGACCGCGCTCTCTCTCTCTGGCTGTTGTCTCTGGCGACTCTATACTGACCGCTCACTCTCTGACAGCTCTCTCTCTCTGGTTGCTCTATATTGACCGCGCTCTCGCTGGTTTCTCTGCACTGACCACTCTCTCTGGCCGGCAGATGGCCCAGGTGTACGAGGAGAGGAACACTCTGGCCGCTCAGGCGAGGAGGAACGGCCAACACCAGAGGGACACACAGCAGCAACTCAACCAACTACAGGCCCAGCTCCACACTGCCCCTGGCAAGGTGAGGTGGGGGCGCGTGGGGGGGTGAGGTGGTGGGGGGCTTGAGAGAACGGAGTAGGGAAAGAAAGGGGAATGACGTGGCGAGAGAGTGTTGAGAGGGAGGGGAGGGGTGAGTGGACAAGGGAGAGAATGAGTGAATGAGATGGAGGGAGGGACACAGGTACCTGGCCTGGCTGCTGCTCCTGTGCAGACGAGAGGCAACCTGAACCACAGTAGGGGGTGGAGGGTGTGGAGGAGGGGGGGAGTCATCCCCTGTGTCTGGGGGCTGTCGCTCACTCTCTTCTCCTATCAGAGCGAGTCCTCTGTGGACACAGCCCCTGGGGGGCCACAGGAGATTCGGGGACCAGAGCTGGAGAGCGGGCAGACGGAGTGCGGAGATCTCAAACTCAGGTAGTAGCCCCCTCTGCCCCCTATAAGCCTCATATCCACAACCCCCCCCCACTGAAGCATTCACTCTTTGCCACTAATAATCGCAGACACACTGACATTGCAGTAACTCTTTATTACGGTCGCTCTCTGATGTCGCGGTTACTCTGATATTGTGGTCACTCCCTGACACGGTCACTCTCTCTCTGACATTACGAACACTCTGCCGGACCCTCACTGATGTGCTCACTCACTGATGGTCCCTATGGTCATTCTGGGTCAGGCTGGCTGAGGCTAGGCGGCTGCAGGAGCGAGCAGAGGGGGATGTCGAGCGAATGAGGCTCATCCTGGCCGAGGAGCAGGAGAAACGGCTGGGAACAGAGGAGGCCCTGCTCGCCAGCCAGCAGCAGCTCCGCAGGTACCGGGGAGTGGGGGCTCGGGGAAGGTGGCTCTGGGGGGGCTCTCTCGGGGATGGGGGTGGGGGGGAGGAATGTGAGTGGGTGAAGGGGCAGTGGGCAATGGGGGAGGCTACGTGGCGGTACACTGATTGGGTCTCTATCTCGGTCTGGGGCAGCGTTGTGCTGATTTGTTGGGGGATGTGGTGGGGGCTGCTCGGGAGACAGAGGGTTATGGGGGGCAGGGTGACGCACACTGCCTGGATGGTCTCCCTCTCTGGGGCAATGCTGAGCAAGTGGGTGAGTGAGGGCAGTGGGCTATGGGGGGTGGGGGGCAGTGGGCTATGGGGGGGGCAGTGGGTTATAGGCAGCACTGACTGACTGCTCTGTGCCTGTGCAGCTCTGAACGAGTGCGTGAGTGTGGGTGGTGGGGCAATAGGCAATGGGGGGCTGGATGGCATCTCTAACTGTGCTTTGTGTCTGTGCAGCGCTGAGCTGAGCGAGTGGGTGAATGCCCAGGAGGAGCACGCCATGCTGATCGAGCTGCCCCACACCACAACAAGCAGCCGGGTAAGTGATGGGGTGATGGTGAGGAGGGGGCGATGGTGATGGTGAGGAGGGAGCGAAGGTGAGGAGGGGGCGACGGGGAGGAGGGGGCGAAGGTGAGGAGGGGGCGACGGGGAGGAGGGGGCGATGGGGAGGAGGGGGTGATGGTGAGGAGGGGGTGATGGTGAGGAGGGGGTGATGGTGAGGAGGGGGTGATGGGGAGGAGGGGGTGATGGGGAGGAGGGGGTGATGCTTGTCTCTCTGTTTCCCCTGTAGACCCGCAGTAGCTCAGGAACCAGGTGTCTGCGCTCCCTGTGCTTCCCTCGCTCCAGGAACAAGGTGCTGTTGTCCATCTACATGCTGGTGCTCCACGCCGCGGTGCTGCTGTGTGTGACCGGGGTGCTGTGAGCACAGAGAACCTCCCACCCCCCCCTATTGTTGGGTTGGGTTAACAGCCCATGTGCAGAGGCACACAGCCAGGGAGTCAATGGAAAAGTTTGTCTCGAATTCCCTCAGCACGCAGGCGGTTGTACACCGTTACCCCAACCCAACCCATCATTTTGCACATTGGGGCAGATTAGCCCAGCCTAGTTCTCGGGGCATGTGATTTTGCCCTTTCTCCTGCTTGGTGTTTTTCAGTGGGTATTTGTGAGGGGGTGGTGGGGGGTGGGGGGGAAGCGACGATTATCATTGAGGGGGTGAAATCATTGTGTGTCGCTCCACGGCACAGACACAACACACAGGAAAGGGGTTCGGGGTTACAGCCCAGATATCACAGCATTTTGGCAGGGAGAGGAACTGGGTGTGGAGCTTTAAACCCCATCATTATCCCCCAATCCCCACTCAGAGGGTTTTGTCTGCCTCTCACACGGTGGGGTGGGGGGGGAGGAGGTTGCTCTATGCTTTTCCCGATCCCCGGGATCAGAGCTTGATCCCCACCTCACTCTCTGAGCCAGGATGTAGTTGCTGAGAATGGCGACACTTGGCGAGTGGTGGTGGGGGGTGTCAGTGACCCTGGGGGGGGAGTTTGAAGCAACACATTGATTATCGCCTGAGTCGTGTCTCCCCTATACAAGTGCCTCCCGGCTGCTCTTTGGGGCCGGGATCAGGGGTTCCTTCTTTCCGCCTTCCCCCGCCCCCACCCCCTGGTCCAGGGGAATCTCACTGATCATTCTTAGCTGAACAACATCCCGGGGGGTGGTTCTGACACACGGAAACCCATCGCCGTGCTTAAGAGTCTCCAAACCAGCCCGAGCTCCACATATTTGTCGTCATCTACACATGGAAATCTCCCTGTGTCTGGAATGGAATGTGCTCTCTCTCTCTCTCTCTATCTCTCTTCCCTCTCCCTGGAAGGACGCACTCTGCTTACCTAATTCCGGAAAGCATTAGGCGCAGGTTGCCAAGAGCCAAGGCTTGGGGGAAGCCCAGAGTGGTGTTGGGGTAACTGCTGGAGTCTAACCAGCTAAACCCACACAGATTGCCATTGAGAGAGAGAGAGAGAGAGAGTGCTGTCTGGCCAAGCTTTCCCGCTGCCTGTCCAGCTCGGACCACCCGTTAGGGCTTTGGCTGCAGGGTTACCAGGAGCTGAGTGGGAGAATTCCCTGCCCCAAGTGAATAATTATACCTGAAATTACACTGTTTCTTAACCAAAGCAATATGATAATTAGCACATGAAATGGGGGTAAATTTACCCCAGCCTCCCCCACCCCCACCGGTCAGTTCCGAGCCGGAGTTTGCTGTTTGGGGCGGTGGGGTTGTTGTCGAGCTGAGATCTGAGGGTTTTTTAAAGTTAGAACTTTATATATAAACATGTTTATAAATAGATTTTACTGCTTTTTCTGATCAGCTTCATATGGTGAGCGGTTTTCTCTCTTACATTACTGTACTGTACTGTCTGCACCAGTCACTTACGTAATACTCTAAACACGGATATTTATATTAAATTAATTCATCTGCTTCCCATCCTTCCCCTCCTTTCCCTTCGCCCCCATTCCTATCACTCCCTTCCCCTCCCATCTTTGCCCCTATTCCTATCACTCCCTCCCCTCCTTCCCCCCTCCCCCACTCCTCTCACCCCTTCCCTCCTCTCCCTTCCCCCCTCCAACCTTCCCCTCATATTCCAGGCTCTAATCCCGCTCTCTCCTTACGGAATTCCTCACTGGACAGCCCAGCAGGATTCCCTTCGGCCCACCTGCTCCGGGTAGTGTTAGTCCTGACACTGACGTTTCCGGGGGCCGGAGCCACTCGCTGGGTGAGGGATTCCCTCGGGAGGCAGACGGCAGGGAATGGGATTTCCCGCTCCGCAGTTTATAAATGACCAAAAAAGAAAGTCCTATGTTTACAGTGACGTTTCTGCCGCTTCCAATAAACTATGAAAATAGATAAATAGCGTTCAGTCGTTCATCCGTGTTTATCCGTGTTTACCTCTGCCTCCGGGAGCCGGGAATGGGCAAGCCTCAGAACATACATGCACACACACTTATACGCATACATGCACAGACAAACACACACACAGCCCGGTCCACTGTACATCACTGTACACACAGCCCAGCACAGCCTGATCACAAACAAGGAATTTATCAGAAACACCCAACAAGTCTCAGCAACAACCAGAGAAACAGAGAGAGATTCAGGTATTAAACGTGTTTCTGCCTGTCTCCCTCACCAACCTCACATTCCCCATGGTGTCTGTGCTGGGGCTCGCTCCCCCACTGGAGCTCTCTAACCCCATTCCCTGCTCTCTCTCCCCATGGTGTCTGTGATGTGGCTCGCTCCCCCACTGGAGCTCTCTAACCCCATTCCCTGCTCTCTCTCCCCATGGTGTCTGTGCTGGGGCTCGCTCCCCCACTGGAGCTCTCTAACCCCATTCCCTGCTCTCTCTCTCTCCCCCTGTGCTGGGGCTCGCTCCCCCACTGGAGCTCTCTAACCCCATTCCCTGCTCTCTCTCCCCATGGTATCTGTGCTGGGGCTCGCTCCCCCACTGGAGTACTGTGGACCCACCTGTCTCAGGAACCAGACTGAATACGGTCACAGAGGGTGGACTCGATTCTGATGAGTGGATATACTGTAAAGTGGAGAGACTGAATATTTTATGGGCGAAATATTTGCACAACATTCCCCCCAAACCCCAACCAGTAGGAACCACACTGTTAAAAGTAAAAAAAAACGTATTTTGTGGGTGTGGGGGAGGGGCCCGAAGAGAGAGACAGTAATAATAATACTTGAATTTGCTATAGCGCCTTATCACGTCGAGACATCTCAAAATGCTTCACAGGAAATAATGTAAAGTGGATGGACTTTATACTAAATAATAATAATCCTTGATGTATAGCTTTATCATGTCATTGAGGTGTCTCAAAGCGCTTCACAGAATATAAAGTGTAGTGACTATATTTTGTGGACCAAACGCAGCAGCCAATTGCGCAAAGCAGCGTCCCCACAAACAGTGGTGGATTGAGTGACCAAAATTATCTTTTTACTATAATATATGAAATATAGTAGAGATTTAATATATCATATTAAAGTGGAATGGCAAGGATAGTGTCGTGAGATCTGACAGCTGCACCTTTTACATTGAAAAAATAATAATTCTCAGTAATTGCTGAAAAGTTTTATTTTACTTTTAAAAAAAGTGACAGGAAGACAAGTCAGAGACGCGCCCAGTTAACCTTGTGTCTTGTGAAAGCAAAGCACCTCCCAGCTGAGCATTCGGAGAGAGAGAGAGAGAGAATCAAAAGGAATAAGGGTGATCAGGAGAGATTCACAACACAGCACGTTCAGGTAAGACACTCTACCTCGCCCAAAGTTCAGCCAACAACACAAAAAGATTGTGCAACTCTTAGAGAAAGTTTATAACTTTGCTCCTTCGTATCAGGAAGTGAAATGTGTGTGAGACAGAGAGCGAGTCAGAGAGTGTGACTCAACTTCCCTCTGTTTAATCATTAACTGGAGATTTTGCAGAACTTTAACATTCATTTTGAAAAGGTTTGGTCTCAGGTTTTCAGGGTCTGTTGAGAGCTGAGTGGCGGAGTTTAGCTCGGGCTCCTTAGCAGGTGAGTTTGACTCTGACCCTCTATCTAACCCACTCTCTCAGTCTCTCCAGGTTTAGCAGAAATTGGCTTACAATCTGCTGACCCAGAGACTTGCCTTCCTGATGCTTTTTAAAAAAAGTTTCTATGTTTTAATAATAATCCCGGCATTTGATACAGCGCCTTATCACGTCTTCGAGACGTTTCAAACGTTTCACAGGATACACTAAACTGTAGTGACTGTACATTTTGTGGGTGAAACGCGGCAGCCAATTGTGCACAGCAGCGTCCCCACAAACAGCTGTGGATTGAGTAATCAAATTATAATTTTTTAAAAACAATTTTGAAGGGATTATTACACCCGGAAAAGCGATCCGCCAATCGACTAACAACCGGGTTCCCACTTACTGTTAAGAAAACAGAATCGCGTAGAGTAAGGAAACTTGTCTAATGTTTTGCTCCGCCCGGGAATCAAACCCAGGTCCTCTCGTGAGGTGAGTGCTCTAACCACTGAGCTACAGGACTCCCATGTTTTCAGCAATTACTGAGAATTAATGAGGTTTAATTTCTAAATGTAATGTTTAAGTGGAAGCACGGTGATGGGTTTCCGCCTGTATCAGACACCCAGCTGAGCAAAAACAATCTAGCAGCTCTTTCTGGGTTCCCAACCCTTCTGGAGGGGCTCAGACACTGTCTGAGGTGTGTCAGCTGGTCTCGGCCTCTCTCTCTGGCCTGGGGGGCAGGAGGTTGTGGGTTCGAGCCCCCCAAACACACATGTTGGGGACTCTGAGCTCACAGCCCAGACTGACATTCCAGCAAAGCGCTGGGGGGAAGAGAGAGAAAGCACCACATTGCCAGAGACGCTGTCCTTCGAGTGAAACCTTAAACCTCACTCCCCGTCTGTGCCCTGTTCAAGTGGACGTTAAAGATCTCCCGCGACGCTGTCGGGAAAAGAGAAGGGAGTTTCTCTCTCTCCTGGTGTCCTGGCCGACAATCCCCCAGATTAATCACTCACTTGCCCTGGATGAAGCAGTGGGAATGTTTGCCGGCAGCGCTCTCACTCAGTGACAGTACACGGTTTCAGTTGGTCAGACTCCCAAGTGACACCAATGCACACTTGTGTGTCAGACACCCCACTGACCAACAAAAAACTTTTTCTCGATACTCAGTCCCTGCACCTTGTCTGGTTTAGGGTGAAGTCACTTTGGCCATGTTTGGGGGCTGTTAAAATCAGGGGGTTCTAGTTTCTGAGTCGTTAGATGCTTGGTTTATGCTCTGGTGGTAAGTGAGTTATAAAGGAGGCCATGATATGCTCTGTTCCTGTTGATCTGAGCCTGGCTGTTAGAGAAGAGGTTGTGGTTTAGAGTTTCCTTTCAGATATCACGTCACCAGATGAAAATGGCCGTCTTCCTGTCTCGGTCCGGCCAGCCCTGAGGTTTCGGGGGTTGTGGGTTTGAGTCCCCCTCACCAGGGGCTCACAGTCCAGTCTGATGCTGCAGTGCAGTGCTGGGGGGCAATTGGACGTCAGATAAAGCGAGATCCCCTGTGCCTGTTCAGTTGGACTTTAAAGATCTTTGTTAAAGAGAACAGAGTTTCTCTCTCTCTCAATTCAATGCTGTGAATTCAGCAGTTAAATCACACACTTACTTCATGGCTGTTTATGGGACTTTGCTGTGTGCAAATCAGCTGCCACGTTCATAGATAGATATTTGTTAGGTCGGGGACCAAGCGGTACAGGGCAAGGCCAGATAACTGGAGTTGAGGTACTGATCAGCCATAGTCTTATGGAATGGTGGAACAGGCTCGAGGGGCTGAGTGGCCTATTCCTGTTCCTATGTTCACTCACAAATGCAAAGTCACTGAACTTTACTGGGAAGAACTTTGAGATGTTCCTCTTGATGTGAAAGGCGCTGTATCAAATGCAAAGATTAATCTCTCTCTGCTCAGTGTGGGGTGTTGGAGCTGACATCACTGAACAGGAAACATAGTCACTAAAATCAGACAAACCACAGAACCCAGAGACATCGGAAAAAGATGAGGAGAGAGAGAGAGAGACACTCAAGTTGCACATACACTCACATGCACAGATACACTCACACACACACACACACACACCTACATGCGCACACATATGTACAGAGAGATATTATGGAGACTTTCCCCTCTCTCCCCCCGTCTAACCCCACTCTCCCCCCTCTCTCGCTCTCCTCACTCTCTCTCCCCCCGCTCTCTCTCTCTGTCTCTCTCTCTCCCTCTCTCTCCTCTCTCCTCCTCGCTGGATGGAGCCTGACCTTTCTCTCTGCTCTCAGTGATGTGGAAGTCGGTGGTGGGACACGATGTCAAGGTGGTGGTGGAGAAGGACGGAGACGACTGGGAGACGGACCCCGACTTTGAGGTGAGTCTCTTCTCCCCCCTCCCCGACAGCGAGTCATTACCCCAGGGTCACCCCAGCCTGAACCAGGTCACCGGGACTCAGTTATAGTTGATTGGCAGATCGCTTTTCCGAGGTAATAATCCCTTAAAAATAATAATAATTTGGTCACTCAATCCACGACCGTTTGTGGGACGCTGCTGGGCATAATTCACTGCCGCGTTTCGCCCACAAAATTCAGTCACTACACTTTACAATATATTCTGTGAATCGCTTTGAGATGTCTCAACGACATGAGGCGATATATCAAATGCAAGGATTATTATTATTTATTATTATTATTATAATATTATAAAGCAACTTGATGTGATGGGAGAGGTGAGATCAGACGAGCCGAAGGGATTTCTTCACCCAAGCCCCACTCTTCCCTCACTACCCCCGGTTTAACCCCATTCTCCCCTCACATCCCCCAGTCTAACCCACTCGCTCTCCCCTTGCTCCTTTGCTATTGGAGGTTCTCAGTTGGGAGAAGAGGAACAAGAAGTGAAAGTCAGAGTTGCTCATTTGTGTTCCTGTTTGTATCAGTGACCTTCCCACAGCCTAGAAACATAGGGGCATAGGCACACAGGGACATAAGGGCATAGGCACACACGGACGTAGGAGCATAGGCACACACGGACATAGGGGCATAGGCACACAGGGACATAGGAGCATAGGCACACACGGACATAGGGGCATAGGCACACAGGGACATAGGGGCATAGGCACACACGGACATAGGGGCATAGGCATATAGGGGTATAGCGACATAGGGACATAACAGCAGAGGGACATAGTGACATAAGAATCTGCAAGGCGAAAGAAGACCCAGGTCCAGTTTGCCTTCCACCATCCTGGCAGTTGTTGGAAAACTATATACTGTATCCGCAGATATTATTTTCCAGCAGAAAATTATTTGTTGTTGACACAAACGACACTTTCTGCTTCCACCGTCTGTCTCTCTCGGGAACCTGTTCCATACGTTTACTACTCATTCACTGAACTGGTGTCTCCGCAGATTGGTTATGAATTTACCCGGCCACTCGCAGGCCATGTCAGCAGCCAAAGCCACCCCCTTAACCGCACCCCCCCCCCACTCCGTAACAACCTCGTCGCTTCCATAACCCCCACCCCAATAACTCCCCACCCCGACCCCATAAATCTTCCACCCCCCACAGTAACACTCCCCCCAATAATGTTTCAGAATGACATCTCGGAGCAGGAGCAGCGATGGGGAGCGAAGACTGTGGAGGGCTCCGGCCGTCCCCAGCACATCAAGTGGGTGATTGACCACTGGCCGGTGGGGGGGGTCAGTGTGGAGCGGTCAGTGTAGGGGGATCAGTATGGGGGGGTCAGTGTGGGGTGGGAGGGGTGGAGCAGTGTGGGGTGGGGCAGCGTGGGGTGGGAGGGCTGGAGCAGTGTGGGGTGGGGCAGCATGGGGTGGGGCAGCGAGGGGTGGGGTAGCGTGGGGTGGGGCAGCATGGGGTGGGGCAGCGTGGGGTGGGGCAGCGTGGGGTGGGGCAGCGAGGGGTGGGGCAGCGTGGGGTGGGGCAGTGTGGGGTGGGTGTGACTGTGACTGTGATTGCTCACAGTGTACATGAGCTGAGGCAGAACGTGGCTCAGGATCACCAGAGTATCAGACAAAGAGAGGACGCGGTCGGAGCCAAAGCCTCGTATGGTTACGGCGGCCGCTTCGGGGTGGAGCAGGATCGTATGGACAAGGTGAGGCCCCGCCCCACTGCCCACCCGGCACCGGCACCGTGGTATTGTGGGAGGTCCCGTCCTTTGAATGAGACATTAAACCAAGGTCCTGTTTGCCTGTTCAGGTGGATATTACAGATCTCGCGGCACTAGTTGAAGAGAGAAAGGACTCTCTCTCTCCCGGTGTCGTGGCCATCAGTCCCCCAAACAGAATTGATGAATCACTCCCATGTTTGTGGGACATTCCTGTGCGCCATTGGCTGTCAGTCACTGCACCTTCAGTACATCACGTGAAACACTTTTGAGACGTCTCAACAATATAATAAGGCGCTCTACCAAATGGAAGGGTTATTATTACCTAATATCAGAGGATTCAGCACATAAGCCACATAGCTTGGCATTGAGAGCGCTGTCTGGCCACGCTTTCCCATTGCGTGTCCAGTAGGGCCACCCCACCCCTCAGGGTGTGGGCTGCAGCGGTAACAGGACCTGAGGGGGACCATTCCCTGCCCCAGTGACTGATCTGCCCTTCCAGGTCCTGTCAGGACGCCAGGACGGGCTCATCAGTAGATGGTTGAGTTCGGAGGTGAGGTAGTTGATGGCTGCGACTAATACCTGTCCTCTCCTCTCTTCCCCTCCCCCACCCGACTCTCTCTCCCCTCCCCCCACCTCCCACCCCCCCGCCCACTCTCCCTCTCCCCTCCTCAGTCTGCCTTAGGCAATGAGTATGTGGCAAATGTGGCGAAGCATTCCTCCCAGACAGACGCTGCCAAGGGATTCGGGGGCAAATATGGAGTTCAAAAAGATCGGACTGACAAGGTAAGTCCCTCCCCCACTGGAGCTCTCTATCCCGATCCCAATCCCTGCTCTCTCTCTCTCTCCCCATCGTGTCTGTGCTGGGGCTCGCTCCCCCACTGGAGCTCTCTAACCCCAATCCCTGCTCTCTCTCTCTCTCCCCATCGTGTCTGTGCTGGGGCTCGCTCCCCCACTGGAGCTCTCTACTCTAACCCCATTCCCTGCTCTCTCTCCCTTCCCATGGTGTCAGTGCTGGGGCTCACTCCCCCACTGGAGCTCTCTACTCTAACCCCATTCCCCATCGTGGAGTCCTGTAGCTCAGTGGTTAGAGCACTCGCTTTGCAAGTGAGAGACCTGAGTTCAATTCCAGGCAGAGGGCGAAACCTTTGGCAAGTTTCCTTACTCCACACAGAGCCTAATAATAATCCCTCCAAAACCAAACAATAATAAAATTGGTCATTTTCAATCTACGACTGTTTGTGGGACATTGCTGTGCGCAATTGGCTGCCGCGTTCGCCCACAAATATACAGTCAATTCACTTTACAGTGTGTTATGTGAAGCGCTTTGGGACGTCGAGAAGACGTGAAAAGCTCTATATCAAATGCAAGGATTATTATTATTATTATTATTATTATTATTATTATTATTATCTCTGTCTCATGCTCTCCTCTCTCTCTCACCTCACTCTCTGACCTGACAGGACCTCACTCACCTGCCCGTCTCCTCTACACACCCTGGAGGGAGGTTGACTGAATCTACTCAAGCGCTTACTTCTCTTTTTCTCTCTCAGCTTCTGTGTTTCTCTCCCTTACTCTCTCACTCTCTGTCTATCCCTCTCTCTGCCTCATGTAG